AAAACCCCTCAGACCCCACGCACCCCACAGAACATACAGACCCCACAAACCCCGCAGACACTACAAACACCACAAAACCCGGCTATTCCGCAGATCCCACAAACCCTCAACAGCCCACAGACCCCACAAACGCAATAGCAGAACGTAGCATAGTGAGCACAATTCGGGTGGTCGGTGGGGGGCTCCCAAAATGTGGGGCTCCAAAAATGTTCGGAACACTTAGAGCCTCTAGCTTTTCGAAGGGCTCTAATTAAATGTGCACAACATTTAGAGCCCCCTAGACGGCCCGGAAAAGGACAACAAAACTATCGGCCGAAAGGCGTATCCGAAACATGCTCTGAAACAAAAAGCGGCAAGCGACCTCTTCTTGCCTCCATCTATAGTATAGAAACTGTCATTGCTAATATTATTGTTGTTGTTATCGTTGTAATTGACGCTGTTGTCAATGTTGTTGTTGTTGTTGTTGCTGTTGTTGTCTGTGCTACTATAGATGCTGCCGCTCTTGCTCATATTATTGCTGTTGCTACTACTGTTGCTGTAATTACTATAGCACCAAAACACAAACGAACCACGTCATTTTCTACAGTATTTCCTGCTCTCGCGAACGCGGCGGCATCATATCCTTCCGGTGACGGTGCCGAAGCGGCTGCTGCTGTGAATGACGGTTCAGCTGCTGTTGCAGTGGCACTCCTTGTTATGGTGGCAGCTGCTACCGGCTGTTGCTGCTGTCATTGATGTTGCTGCTGCTCCTGCTGCATGTGTTGTTGTTTTGGTTGCGCTTGATGTTCATGCTGTCACTGCCCTCGATGTCGTTCTTGCCTCCGATGTTATGGTGAATACGCATGCCGTTTGCAGCGGTGTTTACGGGGCTTCCTGCTCTCGCAGAGGCAGTGCATCGTTTCCTTACAGTCACGATGCTTCTGTTGCTGTGAATGACCGTGCAGCTGCTGTTGCGGCGCCGCTCGGTGTTACGGTGGCTGTTCTTGGCGGTTGTGGTTGTTGTTGTTGTTGTTGTTGCTGTTGTTGCTCCTGCTACCGACGTTGCTGTTGCTCTTGCTGCTGTTCTTGCTGTCGTTGTTGCGCTTGCTGTTCATGTTGTCGTTGCCGTTGTCGTCGTTCATGGCTCCGATGTTGAGGCACATGCGCGACGACCGACATGCCGTTTCTATTGGTTTCTTTACAGCACATTCTGCCGCTGATGTATCATTCTTATCCGCATGCCCGTTGTTTTGCGCAGATGCGTGCTGCGAGTTGTCAGATGAGGGGAGGGGGGGGGGGCAGAATCCCGCTTCACTACTGACGTAGGTGGAAACGAAAGACTGGCTGCGCTAGCTTTCGTGAACACACAACTACACATGCACTCAAGCATACACGCATGCACTGACAAAAGCACAGATAATGTCTAACATTATTCGGATTCCTTCCAATCTATTTCGCCACTCGAGACCCTGAACTGCTATGGTGTACTTTTCGCAAGTCGAAATTTCATGCTCACGGTTTGTAGATCTATACACGACAAAGCAAGGTTTCTTGCTGAATCTTGCAGCGACATGCCGAAAGCAAGTCCAGCATAGACCGCTGGCTCAGGGATGTAGCGGTTGTCAGGGGAATGCGAAGGAGGAGCGATCTGCAACCGACTCCAGGTCAGCTGCGTGTTGCCCCAATTCTGGCAAGCTCATAATCTTGCAGATTCCGTGCTGCTCTCAAACACCTTGACATGTCGAGCACTGACCTCTCACTCTTTGAAGTGTCGAGTGCCCGGCTGTTCGGCGTGTTGTATGGACTAGGTGTGCTAAGTCTCGCCTCACCAACAACACCAGTGAAGCCTGAGATTTGAGCGAATCCGAACCACGGCCTCCAAGCGCCTCTGTCGCTGTTGGGCTTCCTGTAGCAGAGCCTGCAAGGACAAGGGCTGCGAATCGCCATGCCAATGGCAGCACTAACAGCTGGAACAAGAGTCTGGAGCATCGAAAGGTGAAGCTGTGGTTGCTGAGGTCCATTCACTTGCTGAGCAAGATGAGGGAGGGGTCGGTATGAGTAAAGCTTCACCAACACGGTTGATCACGGAGAGAGAGGGCGAGAGAGAGAGAGAGAGAGAGAGAAAGAGAGAGAGAGAGAGAGAGAGAAAAGAGAGAGAGAAAAGAGAGCGAGAAACAGAGAAATGGGAAAGGAGCTCTGGCTAGTCGAGATGTAAGTGGAGCGGTCCGAGTGAGGACCTCGGTGGATGGACTGAGGAAACTATTGAGCGCGGGATGCGTCGCAGGGGTGAACGCGTCCGTGAGCAAGTGGGTGGGCCATCGTGAGCAGGCGTAGCGAAGGGGTCGACTGACAGAATGAATTGATCAAGTGCAATGAATGAGTGAGCTCTGCATGAGCAAGTCATCCAGTTGTTTGTGTGAGCAAGTGAGTGTCACGCGAGTGGACCAGTATGGAGGAAATATTGCAAAACGGAGACTGAAGAGCCAGCAAGTGCCTGAGTGAGTCGCTGGAGTGGGTAGGCGAATCCTCGCGTAGATCAAGAAGTTCGGCAAGGGACCGAAGTGGAGAAAGTCGCAGGGTCGAGCGCACAAGTCATACATAGACAGATAGAGTAAGGCAATGAGTCACAAAGTGAGTTAGTGAGAAACTTTAACTGTAGAGAGAGTACAGCAAAACTGACTGAGTGCATTCAGCGAGACGTTAAGCGATTTAGTGAGTGGGGCAGGTGAGGGAAAGGGAGCCAGGGCTGATGAAGGAAGTGATCCGAGGAGCTTGTGACTGAGCAAATCACTGTGCCAGTTCTTGCAGTGGAGACTGATCGAAGGGTGGACAGAAACAAACAACCAGCGACCAATTTTTTGAGCTGAGCTTGCAGGGCAACATGAACTGATGCACTCAAGCTGACGCCGCCATGAAGCGTCAAGGTTTCTCCGGCAAAGCATTCGACTCGTTCCAAACTCGCCCTGTCCCGTGAACGTGCCCTGCAATTGCTGAACAAGGCTACACCCAAGATCCGTGCGACTATCGAAAGAGCAACAAACGTCGATCAGCAGGACGAAACTAGTCACAGCAAAGAGGCCTGAATCTTCTGTGCTTCCTGCTTGAGGTTTGGGTGACTCGGCCTGCGATCATTCATCTTGCCACACACTCCTATTGCCGAAATTCTGTCGAGGCAAGGCCTTCTCGAAGAGGGAGTTCCAGCATGGGGAGAGGAGTGAGGCAGTGTGGTGCTGGATGTAGTGGTTCCACCGCCTCGGTCTGCAACGAACTGGAAGAGCAATGCCAAAGACTTGGCCTGAGAATGCAACTGGCTGGAGAGCTCACCTTGGCCCAGAACTTGCACTCCCAGGTCCTAAACTCAAGACACGCTCCGGGACCTTCGCGACCTTTCGCCTGGGCGTCTGTGGTGGGGAACACCTTGCGGACCTGGCGCACTGGCAAATGCTTACATCCTCTTTAGGGTCCCTCGCAAAGCTAAATTGCCGGCACCTCTCTTTATCGAAAAGGCCGGCTCCGGCAGCCTGTGCTACTTGCGATGACAGTGGTGGGCGTGGATTCCGGTTCTTCAGTCTCACATGGGCCTGCGCCTGTCTCAGGGCCGCCTGTCTTTGAGACGCGCTTTCGGGAATCATTGGGCCAGCGCTCCACTGTAGCACCTGACGGGGGCTCTTGGGCTCTTTAAGCCCTTGCTCGGACAAGGCGCACGAAAGGCTCACGGCTTACTTTGCACCGGCGATCCGGCTGCCTGGTCTTCGCCCACCCAAGCACCTCTTTGCTCGGCACCTGCGTCTCCGAGAGCACCAGAACAGCACAAGCTCTCCGTTGCAAGGCAATGTGCAGAGCTTGCAGGAGTAAGCGCTGCACGCTTCCGACCCTCGAAGAAGTTCACCCAATATGGCCTGCCAGGAAGGAAAGATGGGGCAGGGCTCCACGGTCTTCGTAAGCACCTGGGGTCGTCGGGCTTCGTGAAGTCAAGCTTCAGGACCACACAGGGCCAAAGCACCGAGGTCGCCTGAAGGACTGAGAGAGAGGAACACCTTGCGAGGTCCAACTTCAAGCGGTTCCGTCCTTGAGGCGTGCCCATGCAAAGTCACCAGGTCGAAGGCGCAGCGCACGGTGCTGTGCAAGAGCTTCGGTACAGTGTGAGCAATACCTCACTGGCGCTCGAGGAGTCATTTTCGAAGCCGTGGCTCCCGGATTCTTAGTGCCATGCCACTTCTCGTTGGGAAGTCCCGGACGTGTCACTGGGGGATCGTGGCAGTTCATGTGGAAGGTCTGCACCAGCATGTTCACACCATCTCTGATCTTTTTGGCTGAATTCTCCGAGCCTTGTCGCAGCCATCGCAGCGGATAAGACATCCAAGTTTTCCTTTCCGAATAAATCCAACTCGGTTCACTCTGCTCGCATTATTTTAGAGCTGCTTGCCGCATGCCGGTTGCACATCTCGTGTATGGCTTTTGCCTGAAGGCCCGCCATCGCAAACAAAGCATCGCCAACTCCCCGTCTGCCTGAAAGGAAGACAGAGCACCTGATTGCGGAGGGAAGGGCTGCGGCCCCACCTGGGCCTGTTGCTCTGCTCCTTGGCCTTGCGACCTCCAAGAGCAAGCAAAATCTCATAGCATGGTGGCTCTGGTGGCTCAGCTTTTTCTCCTGGCCACGGGCGGCGGGGCCTCCTTGGCCATCCTGCCTACAGCTACACACAACCTATACTATACATGGACCTACTTGACATTCGGATGGCAGAGAACGTCCGTGCTCACAGGGCCATTCGGCCACCTCGCCTGGACGTCGTGCCTGGAGTCTTCTAAAAGGTCCCATGCCAGTCATCCTAGTCCTACGACCACCCAAAGCACATCGCTGGCCTGTGAAAGCTTCGCATCACCTTTGTGTATGCTCCAATTTCAGAGAATCGTCAGCAATCTGCATTCCGTGGCTGTGAGGCGGGGGCAGTTATCTGCGCATCCGATTTCGATTTCTGATGCACTTGCGCCTCCCATGATCGCCGAGGGCTAAGACATGTAAACGCCGAAGTTGTGAGATGCAGACGTCGTCTCCGTCTGCCACTCCATCGCTTTGCGATGCCTGAGACTGCTGCATTCTGACAAAACAGGCGCTCAACTGCCGCTGTTGGCTTTTGGGGCATGGCTCCGGATTCTCGGAAGGCAAGCGCCGGCTGAAGTATGCATAGTGAGTCTCCTGCATGGGCATCTTATTTGCAGTCGCAGAGCCGAAGCCGGGCCCCTTTTTTGGCCTGTGGTGAGCGGGGCGAATCCTCGGTGTGCAGTCGGGTGTTTGGGAAGATTCAACCAAGCATGTGCCAGCCATTTGAAGGCCCCAGCTCGTTGGAAAATCGAGGGAAAGTCGTTGATACTGATCGGCCGTGGCTGCTTCGCCTTGCAAGCAGGACTAAGTATGCAGTTTGTCTGAAAGCTCTCGTTGCAGCAGCCTTCAAAAGCTCTCTCGGGGTCACGGGTCTGTGCAGCCACCTGGACCACAGAATCCATTTGGTGCGCAGTGCGGAAGTTCGGGGGCTCGTGGCCTCTGCCGTGCAGCAGCCGCCGCTGCGGCAGCGGCGACTGCCTCAATCAAAGCGACAAGGCCAGCGGAAGAACTGCTCACGAGGTCCGAGAGTCCCACCTCCTCGTCCTCGTCACTGTCCTCGCCTCCATAAAGCAAAGGGCGGCGCTTTGCTTTGTTTGCAGAGAGCTTCCCTAGGCTTCCGCTGGCCTCCGCCTCCTCCTCCACCTCCTGCCATGCCTCCAAGGACAGGAGTCGCCTTGCCGAGCTCGAGCTCCTCCAGCATTTCCTCCTCAGAGCCGCCGTTCTCATCGCTCCCTTCCCCTTCGACCTGACGCGAAAGCAGCGAGCAGAGGCGAGCGGGACTCAGCTCCGTCGCTGTCCCTGCCTGGGCCATGAGGCTGTGGACTGCATGCCCATCCTGGGCTCTCGGCTCTCGGTGTCTTTCAAGGCTGCCGAAACGCGGGTCTGAGGCTGACGGCCATGCCAAAGAAGGAAGCGACTTTCCGTAGCTCCTGAGAGGCCAGGAGGCCCGCTGAAAACCACTCTTCTTTTTCCCTGGGGCCCGTGCTTTGGCGTCCCTCTCTGCGCTGCTGTCCTCGAGCCTTCAGCAACCGTAACTGTGGCACTGCCAGCGCGCGATGAACGTGTATTCCAGACTCGACGAGACAGTCGCCCTCCTACCAGTAACTGCGAGAAGCTGGGAGGCTGCCGGCCGGGACATCTACAGACCTTTATTTTGCACGTCGCGTGCGGCCCCCCGAGAACCGCCGTCTGCACACCCCCCCGTCCCGCACCCACATATCCCACATGTCACTTCCACCCCAGATCGACTTTGCCGGTTTCGTCCCTGCTCCTCCGCCCTCTGCAGTTCGCATTCATGCAATGCACAACTTACATGACCAATTTAATTGCACCTCGAACCCAGGCTGATCCTTGACTGAGCAAGCCATGCCAGGATGAAGAATGAAGAACAACCCCTTGCCCGATCTTCAAACTTCCACATCATGTCATCGAGTTTTTGTCATATGCCTTGGCTGCCACACGCTCGTTAACTCTTCACAACGAAGTGCTGTAAATCTTGCATGTTCTCGAAGGGAATGGAGCTCGACTGTGAAGCTGGACGCTCCCTGTTTGAGCATCTCGGGCGCTGGGAGAAGCGCTGAAAATCAGTAGAGTCTGGAAGATCTCTTCGCCTGAGAAGCTGACGGAATGCCTCGGGACTCAAACTCCTTGGAGAAGTCAACCTGTGAGCGCCAGGAAACCGACTCTGCAGTGTGTTCCAGACTTCTATGCCTTCAGCAGCTTCGCTGCGCCGTTCTTGCGCTTGGGAGACGACATGGCTGCAGACTGTCTGTGCGAGGAAGCCTCGCATTCCTTATGAAAGCTCGCCTTGCTGCGGGTACTTATGGCCTGCGGCTGGCTTCGGCTTTCACGGGTTGATGCACTGCACTGGGTCTGCAAATTCTGTCCTACCAGGGCCCTGCTTTTGCTGGTACCTTTCTTGAGCCATGCAGCTTTCCTTCGGAGGCAGTTGGGGTAGCTGGGTCAGTGTTTGCGTGCTGGTGAAGACTGCTGTGCCTTGCTTTGGTCGCGCGGCCTGGCAACTGAGATCTTGCAAAGACTTGAATTGCTGGTCACGTAACTGGTTCCACCCTTGCCTCATCGTTAGATGCAGCTGCTCGCCTGAAGATCGCATCTGCCCCAACACCCCCAACCATTCCCTCAGTCCCTTGCATTTCGGCCTCTTCTGGGCGGCTGCGCGAGCGAACCCTTCGTCTGCGCCCGCGGCCTTCAGCAGCCAGCAGTATCTGCGATGCTTGTCTGCAGTGGCGGTAGGCAACCAAACGGCGTCTACTGTAACGCCTTGCGTCGCACAATGAAACAATGAAGCAGCCGAGTTTCAATGGCCAGCTGGACGGGGTCCGATTTCCTGTCGGCTGCGAAAGCAGGAGATCTCTGCGCAGGCTCTCCGCTCCCGTCCCTGGGTTTTTGGGCCCCGGGCCGAGCAGTTCGGGTATGAAGCCGACGCCCACGTTCCGGGCCTGGCTCTGGCTCTGGCACCTGGACAGGCAAGGCGAGAGCCGCGCCGCCGGCGAACTGCCGCCGAGCCGATGCAGGCGCCTCCGGTGCAGGTGCCTGGAAGAGACGGGCCTTGGGCGGAAGATTTCAGTCTTCTTTTCTGCAGATCCCGCTGTTCAGGGGTCCACACCAAACGAACTGCGGCATTCTCCTGTGCGTTGGATCGGGCTTTGCCGCCAGCAACTTCGGCCGGCGTGGTTACGGTGGCGATGCCAGCATCAGAGTCATGCTCGGAGCAAGGTGTGGCTTCTGCACCTGCAGCTGCAGCTGCATGAGTCGCGGTAGCTGCCATTCTGCTCAACTCATCATTAGCTTCATCCGCTTGATTGCCGTCGTCGTCCTGAACCTGCTTCATGATGCTGGCCGCTGTTTGGCTTGCGATGCCAGCTTCATGCCCCCAGTCTTCATGATTGGCTTTTTCAAATGGCGCTTCTCCACCAGGGGCCGTATGCCCAATAGCAGTTGCCATATCAGCTTCAATTTCTGAATCCCTGGTCTGTGCATCCTTTTCGGGAGCTTCCGAAGCTCCCCTCGTGGCAGCTTGTGGAGGGTCAGTTGAAGACGCATGGACGCCTTCTTTGCTGTCGCCTTGATTCTCTTCCTCACTGGCCTCGGTTGGCGGTCGGCGTGGTCTCGACTCAAGGCACGCGACCGAGGCACGGACCCAACTTTCCTCAAAGGCTGGAACGCGTGGCAGATCTTGTCCTCTGGGGCTTTCGTCGAAATCATCAAAACTTTGTGCAAACACCCGGTGCCTGGTGAACACCTTACCGGACCGTGTTGAAGCAGGGCCCTAGCAGAGTCTGCGTGCGTGAGAAGGCTGAAAAAACATTGGTGCTGTCTTGGCGTCGAACAGCCACTGACCGGTAGGGTCTGAAGCCAAAGTCTTACGAGGGTCCTGCAGTTGACATTTCAAGCGGGCATTCCAACACCTCTGCCATGTTGTAACACTGCTCTCCTCGGGCACCCACCTGGCCACGATGGCAGCTAGTTCTAGCATTCTACTTCAATGCCACAGACTGCTGGACTTCGTAAGAAAGCGATACTGGGCACTAACCGTCTGATGGACAGGCTGTGGACCCTTTCCCTTCCGAGGGGTCATCTCGAACTCTGGCAACCCGAAGCTTCGCCGTGCTTCGCGGCTCGAGCAGAGCACAAGCTGTCAAAACAGAAATGTTTTTTGGATTGAGTCTCTGAAAGGACAGCTGGCTCTTGCAAGCTCCGGGTCTTGTTCAATGCGGTCAATGCGTCCGATTGAAATGATGAACGGAGTTTAAGGCAGAACTAACACCGCAACGTGCTCTTTTGACGGCTTGAGCCAACATGCGTATGCATATGTACATGCAATGTGAAACATGCTACGTGACACCTACAAATCCAATCACCCCTCCTAAGCCAGGTGGTCGCTTGACCCACTGGCTTCACACGAGCCGTTTGGCTGCTATGGCTCGCTCAGCACGGAATCGCAGTCTCATACTCTTGAGGCGTTCTTGCATTGCAACTTCAGGCATTGGCTTTGTGCAGATGTCGCTGAAGTTCTTTTCGGTCCCAACGCGCTCTAGCTCGAGAGCTCGCGTCGCAACCTTCTCTTGTACCCACAAGTACCGCGTTTGCACGTGGCGTGCCTGACCAAAGCCTTGCCTTTGTGTGGTGCCTCTGGCCGCTGATGAATCTGATCGAATCCTGAGATCGACCTTCAAACCCCAGTCTTCCAGCATCGCCTGCAGCGAGTCCCATGGACCCCGCTCTGACGATTGCGTAGAATTCGCTTTCCCCACTCGACAGAGATATGGTACTCTGCACATTCGAGGAATGCTCGACGAAGTGAGATCCAAGCATCGTCACGAGTCCTGTCGTTGACCTTCGCGTGATGAAGCATCCCGCGTGGTCAGAGTCGCAGTACATCACGATCTCTTTGCACATTCGCCGCGGATATACTCGTAGATCAGCCGTGAGTTGCCGCGCGGGTAGCGGAGTAACGTCTTCAAGTCGGCCCATGCCCACTCAGTGGGTTCCTTCATGTGCCGAGCTAAGCTCTTCGTTGCCTCAGCAATGTCCGGGCGGTCCTGTGCTAGGAACGCTGCCCGCATCGTATGAGAACGATATTGCTTTGCAAGCTCAGCGTTCAACGGCTGTGCATCCAGCATTGCTTTCAGGTCACTCCCTTTCTTCTTCTCTGCTGGCGTTTTGGCTGCCTTCGCAGATTCCATACCCAAGTCGCGGATCAGTGCCTCGGCGAGTCTTGGGTCCGGTTTGTACGTGACAGTTCCCGTCGTACGGTCGTAGGTCACAACCCGATTCAAGACAGTCATGCTGTCCTTCTCGCATCCAGGCCGTATGTGACCATCGCACTTGAACTCGTACTCTTCCGACAGGATCTTGTCAACAAAGCGGTGACCGTCCTCGACTCGGCTTTATAGCCTGTACGATCCCCTCCTTGAAAGAAAGCTCTCTGTTCCATACCCTCGTAGAGTCCTTGGAGAGTTTCTGCAGCGTTGCAGCGACCGTCGCCGAATTAGTAATCCAGCGAGCGCGCTTCTTGCCGCTTTGCCTTGCAATGAGCTTCCCGCTCTCGCCCACTTTCCACTTGCACATTGAACCTTCAACCAAGTGTGCTTCCATCCTTTGAGCAAGTTCATGTTCCCAGGAGTTTGCACCCCTTGGGCACTCGTAAAGGAAGTAGTTCCCTGCTTCCATCTGTGCCTGGAAGGCCTCGAAGCAAAGTCCAAGTTGTGAACGGGACTTCTTCAGATTCTCGCGCCGGGTTTCGGCTCCCACCTTGGTGGTGTCAAAGGCACGTTGCACGGACTGGGACGGTCCGGCGGGCAGTCTTCCTATTAGGAGCTTTGGCTTCACGTGCTCCAACTTCTACGAAGAAACGCAGATGCTCGGCCTGTGTGAACATGCGTGGTTCCAGGTCCATCGGAAGGATGATGCCTTCGTTCACTGTGCTCCAGGGCACACGGGCATTGCTATTCCTCCCAAGCTGTCGAACAACTTATAGCCTACGCCTCGGCGGGGCTACACTTCATGCCCTTCTGCTCGAACATCCTCGTGATCAGCCCGATCTGGGCATCTTCACGAGAGTGGTCTAGACCGGGCCCTGCAGAGCCACTTGCACCACCGTGCAGGTTGGCCCCTATGACCTCAACGTCTGGACCATCGGCGGTCCCCTTAGAGGGTTCTTCCAGCGCAGGCTGGTCCTTCTTGACCTTCTTGCCATAGTCTCTTTCGACCCTTTCCTGAGCTCTTTTCACTCTCTCCTTTCCGTCTTCAGTTTCTTGCAGCCTTCTTTGAACTCTCATACGGCATTCGTCGTTGTGCACTCGCTGCGGGAGAATTATCAGCTGCGCATCGCACCCAGGACACTGGGGCGTGTAGCCGTACAGCTCTATGGTCTATGTCGGACTTCATGACGTAGAGGTTTCGTGCCTTGAAGTCTCGCTGCAAAGGTGCAGGCTGTTCACCTTCGAGCGCCGGCATGCCAACCCGATTGGGCGGCGCTCGCTCTTGTGGACCGGACATCCACCAAGGTAACCCGCGAAGTTCAGCGAACCTTCAGTAGGCCACTTGTCATCCTCGGGCCTCCTGTGCACGGAGTGTCCCCGGGATATACCATCACACGTCGTGATCATCAGGTCTGCGTTCCTCGACGCAGTCCCAACGTAGCGTCCCATGGAAATCCTGTTCTCGAGGCTTCCTCTCTTGTGCCTTGTACCCACAAGCTTCGCCAAAGACAATGGTAGGTCCCCGCCATGGTCGACCCAGCGTTCGCTCATAAGCGGACTTTCCGTCTTCACCAATGCGAAAACGGCTCATGAGAAACGCGGCGTGTCTCGCGATCCAGGCGAGGATCGGACGATCCACACCGACGTCGATCTTGAGCTTTGTCTCCAGTTCCGACAGGATAGCTCTCACCATTCTCTTCACTTCTCTCACAGCTGCTTCAGCTACACGGTTGGCTGGTGCGTTTTCGTGCTCTGTGCTCGTTGGGCACTCTCGCAGGTCGAACTCCACACCTTTCACCTCTTCGCTGGCCTTAAGCTTGAGTGCCTTCAAGGCGTGCTCGTTGTCCGATAACAGACACATCTTCTTCCAACCGGCCTCGCGAATGATGCCTGCCAACCACGTCACATTGTAAGGGTATGTTTTTTCTGGCAGAGACGTGGCCCAGGTGCGCTACGTTCTGTCGCACCGCACCACAAGGTGTGGCATCACATCATCCTCTTGCTTGTCCTTGCCAAGGCAGAAGTAGTCCATGTGCAGTGTCGGCAACGATGTTTCAAGCTCGGACCCTCGAACCTTGTAGTGTGGGTTCACCATCTTGCGTGGCCAAGAACGGTGCACTGCGTGGCCTGAGGCCTCGCTGTTGGCTGGTCTGGACTCTTCGGCACCACAGCCCTTTGTTGCTCTTCACCTGGAGCCTCCGGCTCCTGGGCGAACCGATCGTCACCAGCATCCTCTTGCCTCTGGCTGCTCTGTCGCGCTGCTTCCTCTTGCCTTTGGCTTGGCTGCTGCTGTTGCGCTGCTGCCTCTTGTCTGCTTGCGCTTGCTCCTGAACCCTGTTGTGAAACCGCTTCTTTCTTTTTCTCTCTCTCTCTGTCTCTCTTCTTCTTCCTCTCCTGCTTAGACAACACCTTAAGCGTTGCCTTTGCGGCCGCTCTCCTGGGAGGTTCAGCCTGCACTGGTGGGGCGGCTGGTCCGGGCCCTCCTCCAGAGGCTTCGGAAGGGCCACTATCGGGTTGAAGAGGTTTTCCACCATTTTTTTGGGGATCTGCAAGGAATAGGCGGCCAGGCCGTGGTTCGCGAAAAGGCTGTTCACAGAGTACCTCGCATCCGCCGGCTGCTGGTCCACCAAGCCCAGGTAACGGACCCCGCGGCAGCCGGTAAGATAGGACTGCTTTTGGCACATCTGGAGCATGGCGTCCAGACTTCCAACGTGCTGGGAGGTGACCCATGAAGAGCCGGAAAGGGCTTGCTGGGTTGAAGGAAGTGGCCACCTTGTCAATCCCCCCACGGCGCATGCGGGTTGCAGGTGAGGTGCTCCTGGAGCTGCTCCGCCTGCCTCTTCCGTTTGTCCTCCCTGCGCTGCTTCTCATCCTTGTCGAAGGTCATCTGTTGCGGCGCCAAGGTACGCTTCCCCTGACTGGTCCCTTCCAGGTTCTTGGCCAGAGTCGCCGGAGAGACCGAACATTCTTGAACGGGAGCTTTTCGCGCATGTGCGCATGAGGCCACGGAGGAAAAGGGACGGATCGTTGAAGAATTCCTTGGAAGTGGCCCTCCCGTCTCAAGCCTCAAGCAATTCCACCGAGCCAGGACCGTGGGCGAACTGGTCTGGCCTTTGATCCAACCTCAGCTGGCACCACAGAGTAGAAGCGGCAGACTGCGTCCCACCAGGGATGGGAACAACTGAACAGGTCGATCACAGCCATGTGTCCCTTTGAAGCAAGACCGCACTCTGTCCTCAACCAAGGGAAAGACCACGCTAGGGTCCTCGGCCTCATCCAATTGCTCCTGGATCCAAGCCTGCAAGCGCTCCACATCCTCGTGGCTGTGAAGGAAGGGGCCTTATCTTGCAGCTGCCAAGACGAGTCAGACTGCTGCGAGCCCACGACCATAGCGTCAGGGTTTGGGCCAGGCAACCTCTCCGAAGCAGGCCTCGGAGAGGGAAGATCGGCGCCTGTGGCAACGGCATCCACTCCCCTTGGCAAATTGTTCAGAGAAGCTTCCAAGCGGCGCCTCTTGTCGCTGTCCTTTATGTCCGACGCCAGCTGCAGCAGAAGGTGTGTCCTTGAGGAGGCCCAAAGTCTCAGCAGCCAGCAAGGTCTCAACCACACCGGTGTTCTTGACCTGCGTCTCCGATTAGTTGGTGATGGTCGCAAGGAGGGTCGCTACATCTTCAATGACGAGATCCTCCGGGTAGAAAACAACAGGAGACGGACGAGGAGGCCCAAATGGTCCAGGACCAGCCGGCGGTGCACCTGGGTCGTTTTTCTCCGCCAACTTCATAGGCGAGTCGCCCTGCTCCGAAGAGGTAGAAGAAGCGGGGGGAGCACGGGCACGCCGAGGGGAAGCCATGACCACAGGCACAACCAACAAAAACACAGAACCAGTCAACGAGATCCCGCGGGCGGTCTGACGAATCAGTCCCCGCCGTGTCTTAGACCCAAAATGGCCGCGAATCCCGGGGAGTCCGCAAGTCATTGAGGTGTGCTGCAGCTGACTTGGCCCTATGACATGCGAGTTTAACGGTGCACGCACAGTTCCCTCTACAATTCCAAGTTTGGGGAAAGATGCGGCTGCAAATCACAAAACACCAAGCTTTCACGACCTTGGTCCCTCTCTTCCTGCCCCCCACCCCTCCCCACAAGCTGTATCCTGACCGGGGCTTGCTCCCCACGATTTGTTTTAGGCACTTGAGCTGCCGGCTGTCGCCCCGCCAGAGTCATTGCGTGCAGGCTGATGTTGATGCCAGATCAAACCGCAGAACCCGCGGTCGGGACACACAAAAACTCCGCAGACAGGATGTCTGATGCTGAAGCAGTTCGCACATGTTGTTCTTTTGCTGGGAATCGTCAGTTTTCTCGAGTCAGATCTCGACGGACCACACCTGCCCGGCCGCGGTCCGCAACTTCACGAAAGCTTTCCATCGGGACACAACACCCAGCCGGTGCGACTCGACCTTCTCTCCTCCGTCCAGCATGTCCCAATCATCCTGCAACAATGTATGGCAACCTGCAGCAGCAAGAGTGCGAAGTTATAGCAGGGACCTCCAGTTGCCAGCCACATTCATCGTCAGATTCATCCTGTCTCTGCCTCAGTTCCTGCAAGGTGCAAACTGCAAACGGAAAATGCCGTGTTCCTCCAGCGACGCCTGCTTCTGTCGCCAGCATGAGAAAGCTGACAGCTCCTCGAGGGAGACCTTGCCGCTCGCGCAGCTCGTATCATCTAAACCCGAACATCAAAGGTCTTAGTGCCGCCCTTGGCCTCGCCTCGGCATAGAATCTCTGGTCCAGGTCCGAAATCTCCAAAAAAACAGCCAGGGCTCCTCGTTCCTCCAGCCGTGCGGACAACTCCAAGGCGCCCAAAACCCCGCCCCCTGTCCCCTCTGCTTTTTTCGGGCTTTAAGGACTCGAGCGAACCGGCACTCGCAGCACTGCGGCTACCAGCACCTCTGCCATGCAGCTTCGCTGAAGGCAAGAGGAGCAAACTGGCCTATCATTGTACATTTCCTCAAGGAACAGCCGATTCAACACCGTGATGGTAGGCTTTGTACGAGTACAAAGATTACAAGAAGAAGAGCTCGATAGTTTGACAGTCAGCTGAAGCCTGAGCCGTAAGATGGAAGCAATTTGAGCAGCTGCAGTGTCCTCATTCAGTCGCTGCAGCTGCTTAGACTTGCTGCTGGTCCTGAACATGTGCATCAGGCAACAGCTCCGACGGCACTCTGACCTCGCGTCTCCTCACCAGCCCACCACATTCAGGGAAAGGGGGTCTCTGCAGGACAACATCTGCCTACGATGCATGTGTTCACCCCTTGCGCCGGTCTTGATTCCGCGCAGCTGCTGGCGGCGATGACGCCGTCTGCTGTTGATTTCGACCAGTGTCAGGGTGCCCTGGCCACAATGGCCAGCCACCTCCGGAGCGACTCTGACTCACCTAAGGACCTGTTCTCAAACATCCCTTCGTCAGCCTCCTAAGTGCAGGATAAAGAGAACACCCATACTTGGAGATCCGTATCCAGCAGCCGAAAGTACAAGTTAACTGGCTTCACATCAGCACGACTTCCCGAAATGGTACCGGGCCTTCATTATCAAATCCGTGAGGGTATATTCGCCCTCGAAGGTTTCCATCTGCGCCACGTTTTTCACGGCATTCATGATGTCCTCGGCCACATCCAACCCCGTGGTCGACATAGTTGCTGTGGTGTGACGCGCTAACCTGCTTGGCTCCGCGCCACATGGTCCAGTTGCCCAGTTCCGGTCCTGGGGTGCATACAACAGCCCGGCAAGGTCAGCGAGGTAAAGAGACAGCCGGATCACCGGATCATGCTCAGTCCGCGGCCTATCCAAAGCCTGGCAAACTCTTTCGCTCAAATGCTCCGAGCCAGGAAGACAAATACTCTGTGGCACTGCCGCGCAAATGTTCTCATTTATTCTACCTCATGCCTCACACGCCCAGCCACACACGCACGTACGCACACTCTCTTTACACACGAGAGTTACCAGCAGCGCAGCAACGCGGCAGCAACATGCCTTGATCTCTTCTGGATCGATGCGGCCATTGTGATCTTTGTCAAGAAAGGCCTCCCAGTGGAGTGCCATGAGGAATCACATCTCCCCACGCACTCCGCCCTTAAGTCTCCAATGCTTCTTGCGGAGAAGAAGCCCAGATCCTCACCCAGACTTTCTCGGCCCAGTAGTGCAGCAGCAGCGAGTGCCTGAATCTTATCTTCAGGCCGCCAATGCAGACCCAACAGCTAAAAGCCCTTTCTTTGGCCCAGGTGCACCGGGATGCCAGACTCCGGATGTGGCTTTGCACTGGGGGTCTCCGCCCAGTAAGCCGCAATGCCTTTGATGAGCTGGATGCCGAAGCGCCTGTGGCCAAAGGGCAGCAAAGCGAACGTTCTTCGCAGCTCAGATCTTTTCTGCCACCGGAGCCTGCTGGTGCCAACACGATACATGGCATCGGGTTCCAGGGCTTTGCCTGCAACCTTCTGCACCTGGCCGTCCGCATCCACCTGCCCGATCTTTCCATCTCAGGAGGTCAGAAGTGTGACAGGATTGTGTTTTGCCGATCTTCATGCTTCGTCAGACCTCCAGCTGATCGTCATGCTGCATCCAAGCCCCACTGATGCTCTGCCAGGTTTCTCGCAGACCGGACTGGATCAACTTTCCCGGCACAAGAGCCACCACAATCTCAACAGACTCGTCCATCTCAGACATTAAGTCCTGCAGAACAGTTGGAGCCCTTACATGTCTTGCGGGCAGCAGTTTTTGTGCTGCGCGGCTGTTGTAGCGGTGGTGCCGGTAGTTAGTGGTCATGGTGCTGACCATGATGCAAGCGCGATTGGGACGAACTTGTTACTAATACGGCATCGAAGTTGTCGAGTCCTCCAGAGACATGTGCTCGGTTTCTTTGTAGTCTCGCTCTCCACGGAAGTTGCCACCGTTGATAAGGACGCAGTCGCAATGGGGGCTTCCCTTCCCAGAGCAGTAGGGAAGGATGCTTCGTTGCTTGTCTTGCGAAGTGCCAAAGTGCTTCGGATATGACTACGAGCAAGTGTGGTCACATCAAATCTCCGAAGACTGAGACACTCTGCCGGTGACAGGATCCCCATGCCTGCCTCCACGCAGTCCAGGTTCAAGGCATTCCGAATCCTCGCACAAACCATGTCAGGCACTAACATTCCCAAAGTGCAGCGCTGACTGCCCGACTCACTGCAAAGAAAGCGCGCGCTTGTCCTGGGCATGCGAGGCTGCTCTGCTCGCAGCAAGAATGGGGGAACAGGTTTGAACGTGACTCTGAGGCGGCGTCGTACAGGACCCACGCGAATTCACGGAACTTAAGGGACGATGGGCTTCTGGCACCTCGGCACTGGGGAGAACTGTGCTTCACCATGCGAAAGATGCGACCGGCACTGCCTTGACTATCTGCGTGTAGCGGAGGTGGTCCAGCCTGAGCTTCGAAGACACGAAGACACAAAGACACAAGCAGAGAGACAGAGAGACAGATGGAGAGAGCGCGAGACAGAACAACTAGCGACTGACGGACTGCATGTAAAACGGGACCCCGGCGTGGAGTAGACCTCTTGGACGGAGGCGGCCTCATCTGCAGAAACAGAGACGCAAGCAAACGTGCTCAGGCGAAGCTCGAGCCAGGATATGGCACGGAGGCGAGCCAAGCATCGGGCTGCAGGCCCATCTTTGCAAGAGTGAAAGTGAAAGTAAAAATTTCGAAACATATCACACTCTCTGTCTCTCGCGTGCTTTCTGATTCCTGGCTTTACGCTCCCATGGGGCATGGGCCAAGGAGGCGTTGGGCGTGAAGTCCTTGAGGTCCAGCAGCTGCGCCGAGAGGCGCAAGGGTGCGTCGGGCCCAGGGTGGTCCCAAACGAGGTCGAGCTGTACGCAGAAGTGAGCATCAGAGCCCGGCTTCAGGAGCCTCAACTCTCAAAAAGCAGCGGAACCCAGTCGGTGTGTGCCGACTTTTCTGAGCCTAGGGCCGTGTGCCGCTGATCGTTCGATCAACCACATGGTGGTCGTGGCCAGAGAGGATGACAGGGAAGTCGAAGTTGCGGCAAGTGATCTCATCTTGGGACTCGTATAAATGGCAGAGCGGCACCACAAGGTCGCACTTCTGATCCTTCTCCAACTTTTCCTTGTAGAAGGCCAACCTTGCAGCGGTATGTTCGTTTGCCCTGATGCACGGAACTGTGGTTCTTAGCCTTTGCAAAAGCATTCAGCCCAGTTATGTCAGAGCTGCGTCTTCCAGGGATCCTCGATCTTGGCACCACCAAATGCGCCTGGTTTGTACAGGGTGGCCTCGTCGCTGAGCACTCCCACGAGCCCTGCGAAGAGGGACACACAAGAAAAGGTAAGAGCAAAGGCACTTCCTAATTTTTCCCACCTGTCCGCCGCGAATGCTTCCCGCTGCGGCTTCGGACCTCCAGAACCTCTACATCTTGCTGGCAGTGGCACTTGTCGAAAGACCTGATTCGCTCTCAGGGGCAAAAGAGCATCTGCATTCTTCGCAACTTGCCGCCGAGAAGCTCGTGAGACTGCATGTTGCTGTTGATCCACACCTTGCCACTGCACTCAGAGCTATGCCACGGCTGCAGGGTGTTATTTGCAGCTGTGCTGCCCCTTGGTACTCCTCCACACGGCACATGACATCCTCATGGGAGAGATCGGCCTCGTGGTTCCCCCAGGTTACGTACCTGGCGACCGGCGCTGCCACCGCATGGCAGCAAAACTGATAGTTGCGGCCAATGCTGAGCCGTGTTCTCGCAGAAGGTGGGGGGGGGGGGGCACTGGATGGGAGTTTCATTCAGCATGCGGACCATCCCAGAACCGCGGTCAATGCTCGACAGCAGGTAGGGGGCCAGAAAGTCCTAAGCTCGGAGCTGATGTGAACGCAAGGCTGAGCCCCTCAAACGTGCGCTTCCCTGTGTGCTGCCAAAAATCACCAGTCAGTACGGAAACACAGCGCGCTGCTCCTTCACAAGTGGCTTCAGCAGGCTTCAGCAGGCTTGTAGCACGCTTTGCCTCCGTACTCCGCTTTGAGCTCCGCCTCCTGTCGCATTTCTCGAAGCAACCGCAGCGCCGCAGGTCGAGGCAGGTTGCACATGCCTTCTCGGCGATGAGAGTCTTCATGCTCGGGAAATTCTCGAGCACATAGACATCCTTGCAGCTAGTGTAATTTAGCCCATGGATGCATGTCAAGTCCTGGTCGGTTGGCCAAAGCATTCGTTATGTTTGCCGAATCCCATCTTTGACGTGCAAGACCGTATGAGCACCCACCCTCAAGGCGGAAGATGCAACACTGGCCGAGAAAAGGCAAAAGAAAATGTAAAACTGCTCCGGCGTGTTGAGCTCTGTGTAGGCTGCTCGTTTTATTGCCGGACATCTTCGACTTTGATCTCCGAAAATCCGCTGCTACAGTGGACTCTGTTGGAGTACAAGCTTCAGTGATCTGCAGAATGCGAAGCGCACAGGGATCAGTTGCAGACCCTGTCTGCACTGCTGGCTTGGCTTGCCCGGCACCTTGAAATCAAGTCAGCTTCAGTCGTGTTTGATTGGAGGCTATGACTATGATCATGCAGCTTGGAAGTGCACTCGCGCTGCTGCTGCTGCTGCTGCTGGTGAAGACAGCGTCCAGGAAGCCGTGGATGTCCAGGTCGGGATTCGTGGGCAAAAGAGTTGCCACCTCCTCGGGTCGTCCACCCAGCTCCTGCAACACCTGACAGTTGTGCGATATCTTTGCTGAACCTTGAGTGCTCGCTTGGCCTGTTCTACTTCCCGCCTGAGCCCAATCATCGTGGCGGAAACCACTGGTATCGATGCCTTGCAGGACCTGCAATGCTGAAGAGTCGTTTATCAGACTCAAGCAGCGTCCGACAATGACACTGCGCCCTTCGGCTCTTCCTGAGTGCTCAGGTACAGCAGGTGGCCGCAGGTGGCCTCTTGCACCTTCGCCCTTGCAGCTGCGGCTTGCATCAACCTCTCCAGGCCCTCGTCGCGACTCGAAGCTCCATGGCGTAACCCTAGTTTCTCAGTCGCACGGCTGAAGCGTGGCTCGGCTGTGAATGTCGGCGGAAACAAACTCCACTCATGATCAGAAGGAAAGCACAAAGCGAGAAGAGCCCAGCGCGCAGTCTCAGTGCCCGGAGCAAGCTGCAAGTCCTGAATTTCCTCACAGAGCTCTCGGATGATGTCGGTCTCCTCTGTGTCACCGCCGGCTCCTGCGACGGCTTCAGGCAGCTTTGCTGTCAGACAAAAATCCACGCTAAAACAGACTCCGCGCCGCATGTTTTTAAAGGCAGCTCGGCAGCTTTGCCACGCAACTTTGGCTGGCAAATGGCTGCGGACCTGCTGCCAGCTGTCAACGAAGAGCTCCTTGTGTCTCTCCAAAAGACAGGCAGGGCTCCGAAGCTCGGGACCCTGAGCCTGGAGCGACGTCGCCGATGCAGTGGGCCATCATGCCGTTATTCAGAACCTGCGACCGCCTCGGTGGCAGAGATTTGATCCTGCTCCGAAGCCAGACATCGCAGAGTGTTGAGCGAGCTTCGAGCTGACACGACGTGGAGGCCAGCGGCATCACCCAGCCTGCGCTGGCCAAGCCGCACGCCCAGTTGCTTGGTGGAATGCAAATCGCTCACTGCCTCAATGATTCGGATTTCAATTGCGTGAGCTTGCACCTGGTGTTGCACAAACAACAAGTACATGAACTGGAAACAACTGTCACAGATGCTGACAGCAACTGACAAAAGACAGACCCACTGAAGTAATCACTATGCTCCCGGTGTGTTTCTTTGAACTTCTAGGCCACGCTTTCCCTTCCTGATGGTGCTCTCTGACAGGCCTGACACGATGAATTTTAGGCCTCCACTTCTCAAGGGACACTGACACAGAACAGCACACGGCACTCCCCGCTCTGGAGGCCCAAGGCGCTCCAGCCTTTGGAGAAGAGTCCGAGTCCTGCCGCAAGGCCCAAAGTCGAACAATCGCCTCACGGAAGCCTTCAAACTGGGGGCCCGGCCGCCCTCTCGGACTCCGAGCTGGATTCCGAACGCGACTTTGTAGTGACAGGGCCAAGGCCTCGGTCTGCTGCAAGGCTTTTTGATCTTTGCTGCTTTTAATTGCCTTGCGACAGTCTTGTCGCTGGCCTGCGCGCAGCTGGCGGATGGCGGCGCCCGTGGAACGAAGCAGGTCTGCAAGCGCATCTGAGCTCTCAAAACCTGGTGTCCTTCAGGAGCATTAGACGCACTCGCGCCCACTACTGTAGGCGCGTTCATTATCGACTATTCGAAGTAATTTAATGCATATGCGCGTAAACACATATACATATACATATAAACATACATATACAAACGTGTTATATACATACGTACACATACATAGATGCATGGATGAAGATATGGATACTATATTCTGTAGATATGGATACGAAATCTCGACTGTGAACTTCTTTGGCTCCGCTTCGCAAAAGCCTCCAGGGCCCCGCGGCAGTGGCGAGCTTGGGGCCTCAGCTAACCAAGTCTCGTCTTCCAAATTCTTACGACCTCATATCATATAATACAGGCTAATGTGGGGTTTAAGGTCTATGACGAATACAATATGACCTCATATCACTAATAATTCATCTATCCGCTATAGTCGCCGCAAGATTTTGGAAGGACGGAACCGCGATGCTCGGTCTGTGATCTCGGACTGCTTTTTGCCTTCAGCTCACCTTGAGCTTCGAACTACACAGAGCAAAACGACCCTGGGCAGCTGTGGGGATCTGTGCAGCTGTGTCCTCGCAGTAAAAACCTGCTGAGGCCAACTTGCACATACTCTGCAGCAGCAACAACGTAAGCTACTCAGCGCTCTCCGCAATTGCTGAGATCACAACTGCCAACATGTACATGTGCAGAAGGGCTGTGATATTCTTGGCCGGAATCCAGCCGTGCGCTACTGTGAGAACAAACACCGCTCGTCTTCAATGCCATTTTGCTGGCATTTCCAGGAAGAGGTAGCCCAAACCGCAGACAATAGCTATTCCGGCGATGTCCATGAGGACCTGTACGGTGCTGCATCCAGCGACCGTTGTCACAAGATCCAGGTCTGCGCATTGCCTGCACGCCCACCGCGCCGTGAGCTGGATCCACATTGAAGAACCTCGGGGCAGTAGCATGGCAAAGCACACCAAATGAGATGCGATCGATTAGGGACGGTTCCAAAGGAGCTTCGGCAGAGCAGTGCCCACCACTGTGGCACCTCGGCGTGGCTTCATGTCAGCCAATCACGAAATTGTGCATGCAATCGGCTGAGCAGGAAGCAAATCGTGATGACCGCCGCCGAAGCTCCTCGCTTTAATCTAGATGTTGGGGCTCGAGTTGTGAGCTATACTGAAGATTTCCCGCCTACAGTCAGGCTTTCGGACAGCGGCGTTTGCTGCATGTAAGCACGCACGAAGGCAAGGGGTGCCATGACAAGCACCTGGGCTTCGCTGTCACGCACTTAGGTACAGATTTCGAGGATCTTGGCCGGCAGCCAACAGCGCGCCCACATGGAGCTGCTCCGACACCTGCGGCATCCGGCACCGTTGTTTGAAACACCGAAACCTTCAGCAGTCCATTGAACACTCGGTTTCTAGGGGTTGCATCACATACCAGCGATGTAGGCTCCTCTGTTGATTGTCTGTCTTAGTTACCAGGGTGCTTTCTTCGCAGCTTCAGTATGAATTTGCTGGCACACCTTTTCCCTCTTCGTCGCTGGTTGGTGCCCGGGCCTGCACAGGCTTTCCCAAAGCCAGGCGTCGGACCTCACTGCTTGCGACCCCACACAATAAGATGTGAGGGGTGAGAGCAAAAAGAGCTGCGGTACTGTGGGCGCCCTGCAGTGAGGACGACGCTCTGACCGCCTGCATTGCCTTTCTACCCATCCCGAAGATAGTCCAAAGACTGATGGCAGAAGCGTCTCGCGCTATGCACCCTGCCTCCTAAGCCAACCAGCATGGTCAGGAAGAAGGTCAGAGACATGTGTCGTTGCATCAGCCCCTTGAACGAATCCAGAATCAAGGAGGACACGCTCTGCACGAGCCTCAAAAACATGCAGCACCCTCTGCCAGCAGCGACAGGCCACAAAGCGTTGTCGAACTGCGACAAGCACTTCGTAGCAACTTACTGCCAATAGCATAGAAGTCTGTAACAATATGTGCCTTCTTTAAGCCGGCTCACAGCATGGCCACGAGCCAGGTGCATCGAGGACCAAACAAGTGCAGGGACTCCAGGGACTCCCGGGGCAAAGGCGCCGTTTGCGACTCGGGCTCCTTGGCCTGAAATCGCTCTGTAAGTTTCAGCTCTGGCCCTCTGTGCCCTCCCTGTGCCCTCTCTCAGCTCAAAAGGCTTCACGTCCCCACGCCTCGGCAAGCTCTCTTCGGTCCAGGCGGTCTGTCAAAAATCCCAAAGCCATGACGGTGAAGAGGATGCCCACCTGGCAGCATGCTCCGTCGTATGACTTCTCGTAAAGAACTAGTAGCACTGGTACTTTCTTCTCCTGTCGTTTTGCTTGGAGAGCGAGATACAAGCTCGTGCTGAAAACCTTCTACGAGTAGGATCCATCTAGCTGCCTGAATCGAGAAGGCACGCTCCCGAAACCCAACGACCAGTGAACCAAAAGGCAGCGATGCTGACAATGTTACAATCTGGAGCTGCGCAGGTCATCAAGACCCGAACTCAACCTTATGCATTATGTACACCGCATGCCGCATATCTGCAATTTTTTAAGGACTTAAACCAGTACTAGAACTGCTGATGCTGAAAGCTTCACATGACAGTCTAGAAAATCTGGGCCGCAGGCTGTCAGGCCCGCCAGAAAGCTCGGGATGTTGAACGAGAAAGATTCCCAGCCCGGAGCTTCAGCTTTATGTGAGATGCCGGTGCCGGCTTGGCCAGCTGCGCCAAGAGACAAACCCATCTCCGCGGGATTTCGGTGCTCCAGGCTCCATGCCTGAATCATAATCGCCGCTGAAAGCAGCGTCTGCAGGATAATGCCATGGCCGCTGCACATCAGCACAGCCAGTTGGAACTACAGTGCTTCATTCGGGGGGACTGAAGCCAGCATGGTGCAAGCACTGGAGCCATTCAACAGAACGAGTTCAAGGCTCGCTTCACATCGCAACCGCGCCAATGGACCCAAAGACGATGCACAGCGTGCTCTGGCCGACTCTGGCCCCTGGCGCTGTGGCTTTCGCGCTGACTGCCTCCGGTCCAGGCTGCACTGCGCAGCTGTGCACTGTGAAGCGAGCTACTTTCGGCTTTTTGTCTAGGGCAGAAGTGTAGCTGCACTGATGCGCCGTTCCGTTTCTCAGGGGGTTGCCAATCAGGTCGTTGGTCGGGTCTCCGAATCCCTGGCGGGACAGCGACACGAAGCTGTGTGCGAAGAGCTTGAGGCCCAAGGCCCAAGCCAGTTCCAGACCTGGGCATGGAAGTCTACCAGGCTGCAAAACTCTGACGAATACGAATGAGGCAACGGCGAGGACCTTTCCGACGAAAGCGCCCTTCGCACGCAGAGGCCTGTAAAACTTGCTCGGTGAGCAGTTAGCAGCTAGCTCTTAACAGTATGGTAGTATAGTGCAGTGCAGTGTATCATCTTAGGGCCGTTGGGGCGTTGCGCCCTGCGCGTCCCGTCCTGCGAGTCGAGTGCACCGGGTGCAGATTGCGACCTGCGTTTCGAGAAGCGCAGACTGCCGATGCATTGACTGCTTTGGGCGAAACCTGCGCACTGGATGCCGACTTTCACAGTGCTCTCCTGGCAAGCAATACAAATCTGCCCGTCTCAAGCAGTCACAGCAATGCACCTCTGCAGGGCACAGGCGGCTTCGTGTCCACCGCCTGACGTGTTTGCGAGATGCACATGCACACACTGGACTGGCTCGTCCCAAGGCCCGAGCTTGTGTCCACAACTTCCACAGTGTTCGGCACCTGTCGGTGGAAGCCTCGGGAAGACTTAGCAGCGTATACAGAGGATACTGAGGATACAGTACCGTCGGCGCGACATACTGGATCGCCCAGCCGGGCTTTGTGCAATCCTCATACGCATGCCTGAATTTCTCAAATCTGAACGGCGTCTGACTCCATAGCATCCAGCTTCAGGATCTCAGGACAGTCGACCGCCAATTGTACGGAGCTTACACGCCTCTCTGCGCCTTCTGCGCGGACAAGAGGCTGCACCAAATTCTGAATTAGGTGCGCGAGTGGCCAAACGGCCACTCGGGCACTTTGAGACAATAGTTGTGATGAAGAAGCATGAGGAACGAGCAAAGAATCAGAGAGCCGCCCACAGCAACGAAAACGATGTCCTCAGCAGAGGTGCAGGTTCACTTTTGTCTTGCATCTACCTTGTCTTCATGTTCCAAACGAGGACTTGCGCGTTTGTCTTTCGGTAGTGGCATCTCTGGTAGACCCTGCAAGGGAATGAAAGGCAACAAATGAGAGTTCTGAAGGTCTTGGGCTTGTTAAACCGCCAGGACCCGCGATGCAAGAGGCATGATGGTTGAGGCCAACGTTTCAAGTCGAGGCGATCCTCAAAGATTGGGTCAAGCAACAAAGCTATCGTACTCGGCCATGCGATTCATCCATTCAGCAAGCACATCATCCAACGTTTTAGCTACGAGTGGTTGAAGCAGCATCGTTCAAGCTTGCGGTTGAAGACCCTGCGCGGGAAGAGACTGCACAACATCGCTCTCACGGTTGGTAGCCCGTTGATCGCGACGCTTTGCTCACTTGCTCAGTGCGTGCCGATGGCCGTTGAGGCTTTGCATCAGCCTCTCTTCTCTGAAGCTATACCTGCGATATTACCCACTCAGGCCAAGTCCAAGAACCCTCCAGGCAGCATGGCGATGTTGATCGTACCAACCTGGCACACGCTACAGACAGTTTCGGTCGAGTCTCCATCTGAGGGCAGCGCCATTTCAGGTTTAAGGTCCCAGCATAAAAGTGCAGCAGCGCGCGTCCAGGCTGTGTGGCCAGAAATGGAAAGCAGTGAAGAATCCTTTTTCGCAGCATGACACTGGCTTTTCCATTTTCTTGCCAACTTACTTAAGGGTTGCACCCAGCCAGCACATGTAAGCACAAGGCCTGGACCGGCAGTCGCAGCAGTTTCGAAACCACGAGGACTCTCCATCAAGCACGACCATGGTCAGCGCAAAGAAGAAATTGTACACGCCAATAAGATATTGAAAAGGGCTGAAGACCAAATTGAAGATATTGATCATGCCCAGCACCGACGAAGCCACGAGCGCCAGGGCGACCAAGAAGCAAAAGATGCGAATGCTGCAGTGGTTGGCCGCAATGTAAGCACGAACCTGAAAACAGAATGTGCTTACGAGCAGCAGTGCAGTAGGCATGACCTCAAGAGCCCTAGGCCCTAGCCACGCAGAGCTGCCTCCACCGCCTCCTCCTTCAAGATCTCGAGCGCTCGGTGTGCATTTTGAGCAGCGGCGGCCCCATTGACGGTTGCGTTGGTGTGGCGTTGTCTCCGGCACTGGTAGCAGTGGTGGTGGAAGAGCATGATGAGGCCACAGGCACAGAGCGAGCCGCCCATGCAAATGTGGATCAGGATCCAAATGAAGGCCTCGTCAGCCGTGAACATCGCCAAGTTGATGGTCCCCAGGTAGAAGTGTGTCAAGGCCCGACCCCGGGCTCTTCCCAGGATTGGTGCCTTCTTCCAGAGCTCGGTCTGCCACTTCGCCTGCTTCCCGAGCATCGTGGGTGTGGCATCCATCAAAATCATCAGGACTCCGAAGGGGATGTTCCAGACAGAGTGGACATATTCGAAGACCTGAAACTTGGCATCCCAAAGCCCCACCATTCCGAGAACGGAGGTTGCAATCAGCCCCACAGCAAGGCAAAGAGCCACAAGCTTCCTTAGAAGGGTTGCGAGGTACATGACAAGTGGGAGTTCATCCACAAACCTTCACCTGATCAGATCTGGCCAAGCGGCACTGTTATGTGGCTGTGGTGGGCCTTGGAATGGTCTCGCAGAAGCAATCATGACTCATGACGATACAAACCGCGTGCAAGACAGAGGAACTCACGACACGTTTTGGCCACCCGCTTTTCTTTTCGTGGGGCTCAGGCATAGGACTCGAGCTGTACCCAGATGTGTCCTACACGCTTGAACATAGAGCATTTGCAGTTTCTCCACATCACGCGCACCCCCGGGGTCCTGCATATCCTTCTGGGGCAGCGGAGGCATCAAAGAGGCCCTGCGAGACGGAGTGTCGGGCTTGTGAGGTGCGCTTCCCGCACGGGCCGAGAGAAGGGCCTGGCCACCGGATTCCGAGCTTTTGTCATCCTCCAAAGCTTCCACCAAAGCGCCCGCGGCATTCTGCACGGTATGTCCAGCTGCGGCCGCCGCCTGTGACAGCACTGACTTATGGTACAAGAGAGCATTACGAGTAGTCGAGTCTGCGCTTGAATTCCCGGGTCTTGGCTCCTGTCCAAGGCGGGCCATGTTCAAGCCCTGCTCCAGGATCTCGACGGCAGACTTGGGCTGCACCCCGGGTTCCGAGATCTCCCCGCGAGGGCTGCTGCCCTTGCAGCAGCAGACATTTCCGGAGCCGGAATCATTTCCAGCATCTTGCGATGCCCCGCTGCCCATGTCAGGACCCTAGCGCTCTGGAGGCTCTCTTAACGTTTCACGTGCTTACACTGCAGTTCCGACGCTTGTGATCATTCGTCCCAAGACGTTAGGTATAGCCTTGTAACTGCTTGTCAGCTTATCACTATAGGCTTCAAGGCAACGTGGAGCTACTGCAAGCTAGAGCTTAATGACTGCTTGCGGCCGTACGCCCAGATTGATCATGCTTTTGAGGCATGCGGGCTCCACAGGCTTGGCAATCCAGGCCCTCTGCACACCAGGACAACCAGGCCAGTGCTGAGAGATGGAGATCTCGCTGACAGCCGACCTTGCAGGATTACCGAGCGCCGCATTCAACTCGAGTCCGTGAGCTGCCCGCCAACCTCTCCATGGACAACCTGCAGGGATAAATGCAGGTCACGTGCGATGCGGCGATGGCTCTGCGAAGGAGGGCACAAAGCTGCCTGTTGAAGTCACGTCGCCCCCGCACCAATGCTCCGAGCCTGCTGTGCTCTCACACGCATAAAGCTCTGCTTGGTGACGACCGTCGGGCCTCATGGCCCAAAAGGCAAGGAGCAGCTGCGCCGATCGCCTCGTGGAGACTGGAAAGTCGTATTTGTGTTGATGAGCTTGCTGTGCTGCTATAGCTTGCTTGTAGAGGTCCGAACGCATCGGCATATTCTGGCACGCGGCGGCAGATCCAGTTCTGCGCGCGAAGCCACCGCTCCTCGTCGAAAGCAAAGGGGGCCGTGCCGGCTCTAGCTGCGCAGCTGCCGTGCTCGCCGCTCCTGGGCATCCTCTCGGAGGCCACGTGCCGCCGCCGCCTCGGTCGCTTCGTCGCGCGCGTCCGCTGCAAAGCGGCTCTGGTCGCAGCTCGCGCCTCGCAGTGCCCGTGCCAGGCCGCCAGGCAGCCTGGTCTGCATTCGTCTTCGTCTCATGTCCCATCCCTCCATCTTACTAGAGTACATAGCTTCGGTGGTGTACCTGTGCAGTTGTTGATCTTGGCCTTACTGGGATGCTTCGTTTGCTGATTGCCGCTGTATGAATCTGATGTTGGTAGTGATGAGGGGTGTTTGGGGTATTGCCACTGCTGGTGCAATTCGTAGCATGGGTCTTGTGGCATGTTCCTCCATGCATTCTCACCGATGGACCTGCAACAGTGCCCATCGATCTCATGACTTTCTCAAACGGGCGCTCTCACAGCACCCGTCAGGTCCTGCTACGTTCTCGTACTCATGTCTCTGCACCCCCTCAAAGTGCCCGTACGAGTTTCTTTTCCATAACTGCCCCTCGCGGCACAGCTTAAACTGAGAGGTTTATTGTTAGGAGGTTGTTGAATAAATAGGGAAGGTTTATCTTTCGGGTCCTCACACACACACACATGCTCTTACTCCAAAATCTCAACATTTACAAGTCGGTAGCTGGTGCGGAACTTCCAGAATTCATCTTTATTGCGTACAGAGGTTTGACACCTGAGAGCTTACACAAGTGCTAAGCTGCTAGACTCTGCCCGACTCCTTGGCTCGTCTTTCAGGACGGTCTCACGCTTCTGCGCCCTCTCACGGTGCTCAAAAGCTCTTAACTCTGCAAAGTGCCGCCAGGCAGCAGCGAGCTGTGGCAGTTTGCTCGCGCTGCTCAGCACGAGCAGCAGAGCTGTCAAGGCCTGAGCTGTGGAAGCGAGGTGTAGCCCCAAGCTGCTCGTTTGAGTCCCAGACTGAAAAGACCGCGCTCACGAAGGCTGCCTGCAGAAGACTGATAGGACTGAAGCAGCAAGTCACAGTTGACTGTTGAAGCGGCTGAGTAGGGCACGGAAAGCCTGGAACTCTTCCTGCAAACCTTTAAGCTGCTGGGCCATGTTTCGCCCCCCATTACTTTCAGCTGAGCTTAGGACAGGCTTCGTTTGCCTCGGAGCCGCTTCGCACCGCAACAGATTGCGCTCAAACTCTCGCTCAGACTCTCCGAGACTTCCGAGTAACTTAGCATACCTCTTCACAGTTGTGAATTGCACAGCGGCGGGAGCAGCATGAAGACCGAGGCAACAGCCGAAAGCTCTCGATCGGCTCTCTCAGCCTGAGACAGATCTATCTGCCGGCGTGAATCGCAGCTACCTTGCAACACGGGCCTGCGTGTGCAACTTCAAGTGCTGCAGCACCCTTCTCATCAGTAGCCGGTCCTCTGGAGGAGTGAAGCCGCGCCTCTCTCGCTCATGCTGGGCCAGGCATATGCTGCCCGCACGGTCCTGCGCATGCGTCTTCGTGTTGAAGAAGCTGACCCGGGAGCCGTTCAGTTGAGAGACCATTGTGCGGAACCTCACCAGAAAACGGGTCCATGTTGATAAGGCGTCCACACGGGCAAGAGCTCGAGTTCGCATGCTTCTGCTCGCAGAAGCCTCCTGTTGCCGGTTGAAGCGTGAGACAAAGAGGTCGTTCGATGGTCTCGATGTTTTCTCACCAAAGGGCTTCGCTCAGTGCCCCGCTGCTCTTCGAGCTGCTGCATCTTCTTCGCTTCATCTGCACGTACTGGGACGACAGGGTCCGACAGGGGATGGCAAGGCTCACGGCTCTGAGGCATGTGCCGGAGTTCCGGCTCCGATTCTCGCGCCCGGCGCATGCAGAGAGACGCCAGTGCCTGGCACGAGCTTTAGCTTTCACCGCTACGTGCCTGGGTGTGAAGTGGCAGTGCGGCATCCACGCAAGGTCCCTCCAGCCAAAGGCCCTGCGCTGCACATCGTGGCATGGTGGCATTACGGCATAAGAGGCCTGGCCTCAACCTCTGCTGGCTGCACAAGGCTTGTTGAAGGGCACAGCTTCGGCGCCTTATAAGCAGCTAAGCAGCTAAGCAGTAGAAGTGGAGAGCTTCTCCCCCGGGTCCGGGGCTGGGCGGCCAGAAGTTGAAGTCGGACAGCCTCGAGCTCGAGTCGACAGGCCGAGGCCGTGGAGGCCCAAACCCAAAGCCGCCATCGCCCGAAAGCCTTGCACAAGAGACCTGAGCTGAGCTTGCTTCAACAGTCCAAGGCCGAACTCCGCTTCCGTCTGCCGAGAGGCACTGTGACCTGCTCGGGCTTGGAACGCGGGTCAGACACTTGAGAAGGTCTTGAGATACGCACTGGCTTGATGCTGCAAAATCCACAGCACCACGAAAAGCCTTGCTGTGCCGACGCGATGTGACTGCTGCCGACATCGGACAACGAAAAGCTGATTGTACTCCGCCTTGCGGACACGGGTCCGAAGTGCCTGTCGGAGATGCAGATGCAGGCATGGCCCCATGGCCCAAGACTTCTAGGGGCCTATAAGGGTGTGAGGAAGCTCAAAAGGCATCCTTCACCAGGCCTGTGTCACGGTGGAGGTGTGCAGTTGCAGCGCTTCCAGCTGGCTTGCCTGGAAGACTGCATCGTGCTAGATTCTGAGTCTAAGCATCCCAAGAGGTCATAAAGCTGCTCCGAAGAGCTGAAGTCATGTGAAGTCTGAGTGCTGCAGCGCTCCGGCGCTCGAGGCTTTGGAGTTGGAGAACCTGTCGCCAAGAGGCGAAGATCAGCCTCGGAGCGGCGAGGTCTGAGCGGAACCCGCCGGCTGCGACGGCCATGGCGGCCCTGGCCCTGACGTGCCTTCGCAGGGCGGCAGCCCGGGAAGCCAAGCGCTCCCAGCTGCGCCAGGCGAGAGCCTCTCTGCCGCACACAGCACTCCCGCACTCCCTCCTTTCTTTCGAAGCGGCGCAGAGCGGCAGAGCCCGGAGCCGAGCCTGGATCTGACCTGTGGCCCGGCGCCTTCGCCAAAAAAGCGCCAAGCGCTCCCGACCTGAAGTCCAAGCGGACCAAGCGAGGGCGAGACCTGCGGTCGCCTCACAAAGAGGGATAGGGGCACGCACGGCTCCAAGAGCGCGCTGTAAGTCGCCAGGCCCACAGCACCTGCTGTCTTTGCTCTTCAACGGTAGAGAGTGAGCGCCACGAAACAGTCGTGCCAGCTCTACTTCGCCTGTCTCGACACGAGGTGTCTTGGCAAATGCAGTGCCCGCTCCTGGACGGCAAATGTGCGTTGACTGCTGCAGTTGCCGCCAGTCAGTGCTGACTGCACGGCCTTCCAGCGATTGGAGCGATCCTCCACCTGTTGCCGCACTGGAACCCTGAGATTAGTATAACTTGGACTTACAGATGTCTATAGTTCTGCTGCGGAATTCTGACAATTCGCAAACCGCTCCCCAAACAACCGCCATAACAAGCAATGGTGGGACGCAGGCTGTTTTAACCCATTGGTCGTCAGGTCGCTCCTCCTGCTAGACAACAGTTTTACCGTCGAAAACTCAGGAGGGCAAGATCACACCCGGTGTGGGTGGGTGGGAAATAAATTCGGTGTGATCTTGACCCAAAATGGCCACGATCAAGCACCTTGTTCAGGTATTCCCTCCAACCACGCTAGCGAATTGTCACTACAACAAACGCGCGCTAATGTTTGTCACGACAATTCGCAAACCGCTCCCCAAACAACCGCCATAACAAGCAATGGTGGGACGCAGGCTGTTTTAACCCATTGGTCGTCAGGTCGCTCCTCCTGCTAGACAACAGTTTTACCGTCGAAAACTCAGGAGGGCAAGATCACACCCCCATGACCTGATGTAGCCGAAACCGACAAATCGTTCATCCCACCTGCTGTTAGCGTATTAGGTTAGCGTCGGGTATTTACATCTCGACTGGCGTCGAACGGAAGATGAGCCTGAAGCCAGAGGCCAACGGCAAGCGGGTCTCGTGAGAATCCCAAAGAGACCGGGAACAAGTTAACCCGAAGTTCCGCAATTACAAGGCTAAGCCACGGGTGCTGGCCTTGGTGACGAAGGCCGCCCGGAGGGCAGGGCCCGTCGAAGTTTCCTGTGCTACCGGGCTTTGTTCGAGGGGAGAAGCAACGGGAGAGGCAAGGGAAGCAAGTGGCAGCAGACAACAGACAGGAACGCGCGCAAATGCACTTTTTCACACGACCTTCCAAAAGGCCTCGGAGAGGTCCACCGGTCTGGCCGGCACGTGCTCCAGTTCTGGAGGGAAGTGCTTCGGCTCGGGAGAAAACAGGCGTGACAAAGCATCGGCCTGAATGTTGCTGATGCCCGGGATGTGTGCAAGGCCCCGGACCTGGTACGACCGAAGGGCGACATCCAGCGAAAACTCTCGGGCCAGCACGTTTAAAGATGCCGACTTTGCGCTTCCTCGCGCCAGGGCTCGCAAGAAGCCGAGGTTATCTGATTTCGCCCTGTACACGGCTCCAAAAGAGAGGCTAGGGAGCCAAAGGCGGAACGCCACCAAAAGGGCGACTCCCTCCCAGAGGGTGTTGAATTTCGAAACACCCCTCTCCGCCGAGAACTTCTTGAGGAGCTCGTCCGGGAGGTTGGAGTAGAAGACTTCGGTGGGTTTGCCGCCCACCCTCATGATGCCACCGATGCCCCATGGGCTGGCATCTGTGACGATCTCGACGTCGGTGTGGGCGGGCTTTGCGAAGAAAATCCGTTGCAGGACGTTGCCCACTAACAGCGCTCGTATCCACTTGAGGCCAGGGGCCACCCTCTTGGTGTGGATCAGGTTTCTGGCTTTCCGGGCGGGGCGGCCATCATTAGCCAAACCACACGTAGAGAGTGCCGACCAGAAGGTGGACAAGAAGGGCCGAAGGTGAGGCACTAGGCCCGCAACGAACGACATGCTGCCGGAGTACGACCGCAGCTCCCTGGCGCCTATGACCGGGCGGCTCAACAACTTGTTGGTGTCGTCGAGGAGCTGCTTGACCTTGTGCTCGGGGATGGTAACCGTGACCGTCTCTGCCTCGTCGTCGCATTCGATCTTCGCCCCGACCCATTCAATGGCCTTGCCGCCGTTGGCTTTGTTGAGCTTCGTCGGGAAGCCCGTGACGGCCACCCAAAGGAGGGTAATGGCCAGGTCACGTGCGGCTGCGCCAAGGCCGGGCCCGAACATGACAAAGACCGGGTCGTCGACATAGCACTGAGGGTCGGTGCCGGCGACCGCAGCTGTCGAGCGGCCTAACCAGGCGGCGAATCTACCCCAGACTGTGGGTGAGGACGCCGACCCAAACACAAGCGTGTTGAACAGCACGATGCCCCATGGGACTGCTGCCGCGGTGAACTTGCGGTCCGAGCCCGCCCGCACATTCATGAAGGCATCCTTGATGTCGAGGCCCGCCAGGTAGGGCTTTCCTCCCTCTCGGTAAACTCGAAGGAGAGAGGCGACAACGTCCAGGAGCCGAGGCAGGAGGATCCGTTCGCCTTGGCAGCAAGCCAGGTTAACTCGGTCAGGTCCCAGATGACCCGTGCCTTTCGCACCGGCCGGCCCTGAGCGTCGGTCTTGTCCTTCACGATCACGCCCAGGCGGTTCAGAACGGGCGGCCCTCCTAAGATAGCCTTGGCTTCCTCCTCGGTGGCGACCAAGACACAGAAGCCCCGGTTGACATAGTCGTCGAGGAGGTCGCGAAGGGTGCCCTCCTCTGCCTCTGCTGAGGGATAGTTCTTCCAGCCTTCCAAGGCTCGCCTGTCAAGCTGCGAGGCCGGCATTTGGCCATCTTGGGACACCGGGGGGAAGACGCCTGTGGTCGGCACCTCTTGCTCGATACCGAGCGGGGCGCCATGATCCAACCAGTGCGCCAGGAGCTTGGCATCCGGATCATCGGTGGCATCCCCCCAGGCCTCGAGCACAGATGCCTGAATGGGTGTGGCCGCCGGCGCCGTCCTCTTCCTCTTGCGTGTCCCCTCGGTTGCGCCAAGCGCCGTAAGGACTGCAGATCGGACCGAGGAGACGGCTTCCGGGCTGAGGTCTGCCGGCTCTTCGCCACGAAGTATTGCCACGGCAGGGTCCAGGAGCTCGGGCCACAGGTCCACGGCTCGAGACAGTAGCCGACGGATGGCACTCCCAACGGCGGCCGACTTAGGAAGGTGAGTCAGTGCACGCCTGGCGGCCACCAAGCGCCCGCTCATTCTCAGCCTCCCTCTCGGTCTGCGGGCCCCGAGAGGGAAGGGCCTCGAACTCAGCACCTCAAAGCTCCTCTTTGTCCAAGGCCGCCCTGCGATAACCTTGGAAAAGAGCTTCCGCAATGATCTGTGAGAGGTGGGCCGTGTATTCTGCTTGGTCAGCGGACGCCCAGCGTTGTTGGCCCACCGTGTCGGCGACCTGTCTTCCAGCCACCGACTGGTGGGTGCCGCGTGGGTGGTTGCACCGCTGCCCGTGTAGGTTGGCAAAGTCCACGTGGGAGGAGAACAGGAACCGGGTCGGCTTCACCGTCTCCAAGCCGAAGCGGCACTGGTCGAAGTCTGCTGTGCCGACGCGGTCCAGATCGAGGATGGACCGGAAGGCGGGCATAGCCCAAAGGCTGGGTTTCCCAGCGGGGTGGTCGGGATTTTCCACCGAGGTCCCACATCGCCACGACCGAGTCCGAGCACCGCTCGATGAGCAGATTGGCGGTTCTGAGCTGCTCCGCCCTCGATGTGCTGCTCGCTCCGCAACACCGGGGGGCCGGGACGGACCTCGCGCAGTGGCGAGAAGGAGCCGCACGGAGGAGCCGCCCAGAACACTGTGTACCTTCCGTGGACCAGGTCGCGGATGATTGCCGTGTGGACCGCCTCGTCGAGGAGGTCCGTCGGGTCCGTGGCTCGCTTGTCCAGGGCGCACACCAGAAACCCATAGTCCGCCAGCCAGCTGGGGAGGTCGCCTCGCCGAAGCCTTCCAGAAAACATGACCAGTGTCCAGGGCCTGCCGTTGTACTCGCCGGTGCCTTTGCGGCGCCATTCGGTGTACGAGGCATCGCCGGGCTTCTCCAACCAGGTGCCGTAGTCGCGAGGGCTTTTGTCCAAAGGCCGGTAGAGGGGCGCTCGACGGTGGGATGAGGTGCGCCACCAGAGCCCCTGCTACTCGCCGCTTGGTCTGGCTTCGCGCCGGAGTCCGAGGCAGAGTGCCTAGCCCGGGCTTTGGGCGGTGTCCTTGGCCGTTGTCGCCCCAAGTCCCGCTGCGGGTCGTCCGGCTTCTTTCGCTTCAGGGGCGGGGGCGAAAAGGCCGCCTTTGAAGCCGCCGTCCTCCGGATGAGCTCCGCGGTGTCATCAAGCCGGGCTGCGGGACCAGATCTGACCTTGGGCGTCGGGGCGAGGTAATCCTTGGGCCCAGTGGCCTTTCCAGCAGTGGGGGCGGCAGCCGGAGGTGCCCCCGCTGAACCCCCGGTTGCCCGAGAAGGTTCTGACGGAGTGGCACCCCCGCCGCCGGCCACATCTCAGCGTTTGGGGCACTCGAGTGCCTGGTGAGGCCCCAAGCAAATGTTGCATTGATGCGAGCAGCGGTTCTTGCATTTGCTTTGGGGCTTCTTCGACCCACAGCGGTTCTGGTTGTAGTCGCCGCAGATGGTGACCCCGCGCCTGTTCTTAACGAACACGTTGCCCTCCTTCTCGCTGTGGTCGTCGCCGGTGTACTTGCGCTTGGCCTTGCCGGGTCGAGGGTTCGGCTCTTCATCCTGGCTCGGCGGCGGCGCTGCTGGACGCGGTGGGCCCGCGGTTCCCGAAAGCCAGAGCGTGGCCGGGGTGACCAGTTCCCTGGTCCAGAACTCCATGTCCTTCACCGCCGCCGCGAACGCCGCATTCCAAGGCCGGGCTTGCGTATAGCCGAAGTCTGGTTGATCATGGAGTCGGCGACGAAGGCGCTCCAAGTGCTCGCACCTGAGGCGATTTTCCGCCTTGTAGATCAACCACCAGGCGGAGTCCCCAAACTGCGTGAGGAAGCTCCGCACGTGCTCGGCGTAGCTGTCGAGGCGCTCGGAGTCCACGACCTCAAGCAGGAGCATGGCCGTTCGGTAGACCTTCCATGCCTCGTACCAGGCGTGAAAGGAGCCTGGGCCAGGCTGCTCCTTCTTTGTCCATTCACCAGTGGACACGTCGAGGACGTAGGCCGTGAAGGATTGCTTGCGAAGGAGCCGTAGGCCGTGGGGTCCGAACAAGGAGAAGTCGGTGTACGGGGCCGCCCCTGCCTGCAAAACCTGTTTGAGGGCCGAGAGCTGGTCCAGCGAGGGGTCACTTTCATGTGAAGGGAAGTCCCCGTACTTTTTCTTGTACTCGGAGTAGAGCGTCTGCGTTTCTGTCTGCTCCAGCACCACCACATCAGCGTCCAGGGTCGGGTCCAGGATGGCGGACAGCTTAAGCTTACGGCCTCCGCTGGGCGTGGAAGGGCCTGCAGCAACCGTGGCCGGGGTAGGAGCCGTGGGCCCGGCGGTGCCAGGGCTATCGGGCGTGACGCCCATCCTCAAGCAGCTCACCCGTATAACTGACTCGAGCCGCGCCAGCTCCACGAGGGTCGGGTCCCGGGCCGGCTGCGGTGCTCCATCGGCGCTCAACGGGATGACCTTCAGGGCTGTGATGGCGGTGTCCCACGATGGCCGGGGAATGAGGACAATCTCCCGGACACGGAGTGCGGTCTCCAAGGGACCAGCCACGCCAGCCCAGTTAAGCACGCCGGCGAGGTCCGCTATCGCGGTAAGCTCCGCCTCCGTTGGGTCCATTGTTGCTGGAGGAGCTCGCTAAGGCCGGGCCTTCGTAAAGGACCCGCGGCCCGTGGCGTGCTAGCTCTGCGGGCTCTGCGGGCCGCGTTCGGTCGTGAACCCGCGGTGTTGCGGAGGTCCACCTCCCTGTAGTGCCCGAAAGCCAAAGAAACCCGACGCCTCCGACCCAAGAAGAAAAGCGCCCCGCGGCTGACAGCGGCCCAGCGGTCCAGAGGTCCTTGTAGAGGCCGGGACTGCCTGCGCGGCGGGGTAGAGGCCGTGAAGCAGCAGCCGCAGGCAAGGCCCAACAGCCAGAAGACGGCCGCAAAGGCGACGAGGGCGCACTCCCCGGCAGTCGCCTCGGACCAGACAACCAGCGGCCCACCCAGAAGGGTAGGGGCCAAGGAAGTCGAGTCTGCAACGACCGCCAGGTCCATGCACCGCCCCACCCTGTTGCAGACCACACCTAAATAAATTCGGTGTGATCTTGACCCAAAATGGCCACGATCAAGCACCTTGTTCAGGTATTCCCTCCAACCACGCTAGCGAATTGTCACTACAACAAACGCGCGCTAATGTTTGTCACCACAAAGAACCTGAACCGAATGTCTGTAGGAATCTACCAGTAGGAGGGAGGGGACACTCAATCAAACGAGAACAGTTTCCCTGTGGCTGCGACGGGATGGGGCCGGTAAACTTTAGTTATGTTAAGTCACTCAAACGCGACCAACAGAAACACAGAAACATAAAGTTTTACATCCAACAGCATTTCCCCTCGTCAACCTGACACGAGCACTCCCTACCTATGAATCCAATCCCGACGACGGCGGTGCACTGTGTGATTGACGTGATGGTGACAGACCATGCCTGCAAATTCTAATCAAGGAGCAGATTCTGGCCATGGAATCCTGCCTGTAGACATAGCCTTCTGAACAAATGAAACCCACAAGTGCTGCAACGTGTAGACACGTGAGCCAAGCGCGTCAATATGCAGAGTTCGATTGAGAGAGAGAGCGAGAGAAATAGGTGGTAAAACGGCAAGCAATCACCCAGCAGCCTGCCTCCTTGCAAAGCGCACGGCACTCCTTCGCACTTGCTCGTGCCTCCTGCAACAATGAAAAGCTTCTAAATTTTGCAAATTTGAGGAGCCACGTGATCGTAGGCGGTCGGTCTTCAGGCAATCCCGTGCCTGCTGCACCCGTTGCTCGCTTCTGGCAGCCGCAGCGGCACATCTCCATCCCCAAAATACCTCCAGAGTACAACAGCAAAATCATCGAATTGCAAGCCGTCTGGTGTCAATCGCGCCCTCAATGCACAAGCAGCTGCTTATCGTCTTTTGTTTGTAGTCTCTGTTTGCATGACTAAGTATCTATGTCTGCAGCAAACGCGCTTCCTTTCTTATGCAGTTCCCGACGCTGATAGGAAGCCGGGGCATTTTCTCCCGTATAGCTTTGCAGATTTCTGTACCGCTCAAAGTCTACTTAGATCCATATCGATAGGCCGGGCCCGGATTAACTCGAACAGCGAAGAGCGAACATGTCTAAGTCTATGTCTCATGTATACCGTTATATAAAGGTAGATTGCGTCACGCACAGGAATTCATCTCCATGCTTCTTTAAGACACGATGCCATGATCACTAGCGGCAAGCGTCCCGGAGGCGGCGAGGTGGAGACGTCGGCGTTTTTGAGCAGCACACAGTAAGACTTGGAGGGGCACTCGGCAAAGGCCTTTCGAATTCCTGGCCGTGATGACCGCCTTGGACCTGAAGTGAGGATTTCGTGGCTCCACAGCTCGATCTTGGCAGCTTGCAGAAGAAGAGGCGCAACTTTGGCAGCCCTTTTTCTGGAGAAGGAACTCCGAGCAACCTGGGATACAAACCCCCGGTTCTCCGTCCTCCACTGCACTTTGAAGTCAACATGAGAGCTGGACAAGTGCCCATGCTGCAAACCTTTGACAGAGTCGCGTGAGGCCATCGAGGCCAGCGGGCCGTGTTCGTCACTTCCGACTTCCACAGAAGCTTGGCTCACGGCACCTGGCTGCGACGCACGACGTCCCCGCATCGCCGCATGAGGGTCAGTGTCTGCCTGTTTCAGTCATGGACTCTGCCGCAAGGCAAACCAGCGGCTAAATTTCACTGGCTGGGGGTCTCCACTTCTGGCCGTGACGATGACATTTCTTCGCGAAGCAGACGCGACACCAGGCAGTCAGGCCTGCCGGCGGAGGATGAAGCATGAGCGGTGGCAGTTCTTGTCTTTTTTGGGGCTCCAGCATCTCACAGCATGCAGAATCCTGTTCAACTTGCGCTGAGATCTTTGCAGAAGGCTCAAGCATTGCCCTGACTCTGAGGTTGCCGCAGTTTGCAGTTCCCGGCACGGAGTAAGGAATGAGCTTTGCTCTGTGCGAAGCTGATCTGCCAACAATGCCGGGGATCCAATATCGCTGTACGAGAGGACCTCTGTGTCGGCCTGCTTGTCCCCGTGCGATTGCAAATGACCTGAAAGATGGATGGGCCAAAGAGCTCAGTCAGCCTACGGCGGGCCGGAAGAGCCTCTTCCGACAGCGTTCTTGGCCTAGGCGCACACAGCGCAGGGGCGCGGTACGAAGGTGCGAGTGGCGAGGCTTCAGTTCCCGGCAGTCCGAAGCTGCCACGCGGCAAAGCAAAGGGCTTGGACTTCCTCAGTGGCACCTGGAAGATGAAGCTACGAGTATGCCTCGCAATGCTTCGCACCAGTTCCGACGAGAACAGCACGGATTGGAACCACGCCGACAACACCCGCGGGCAGCCTCGCTTCCAGCACCTGCAGAATGATCACAGCACATGCTTACGCAGAAGTAGTCGATGCCAGCGCCTGGACACCAGCAAGCGTTGCCCGCGCATCTGCCAGCCGACGAAACCTCCCTGCCAGACAGCCGTCGATCACGGCTGACTGTGAAATCTGCGAAATCTGCTAACGAGGCTCCGACTCTCCTTCACAAGATGGAGTTGCATGTTGGCCAGGCGTCCACGCCGCTCCTTGCCAAGCCGGCCACCGAGCAGTATTTGCGTTTGGGTAGAGTCAGCAAGCCGCGAGGGGGACACTCTTGTTAACTTTCGGCAACGTTGCAGTCGTGGCCCTAATTCTTGATTTTAAAGGAAGACTTCGGAGTCCATCACTGCAAATCGCCGTCGATCAAGTCCTGAAATCTCCTCACCAGGGAATCGCACCATGCCACTGCAACTGACAAAAACAACTAGTACCAGCAAGCATCAGCGAAAATGATGATGAGGCAAGACTGATCTAGCTCAAACTGCATATAGCTGCGGCCGAACGTTCACTTAAAGCTCGGGTTTACTAAGACACCCGGACACCCCATCCTGCATTTCTTGATCGCTCAGCTCGAAGTCGAAGACGTCGAAATTCTCACCCAACCGATTTGCAGAACTGGCCTTTGGGATTGGCGTCACGCCTCGCTGCAGGTGCCACCGCAGAATCGTCTGCCTCAGCTGCAACGCGCAGTCGCAATACTCTGACTTTCCAAAGTCTACCTCTGTCCAACAGGTGGCTGCCATTTGCTTTCAAGCCGCGCCGGGGTCTTCCCATGTGCAGAACCGATGTCTGCCAGTAGTTGTAACGAAAGCAGCTTGTCGGTTACCTGCCAAGGCGAGCTAGATAACAGCAAGCAAATCCTGAACAAAGGCATCCACGAGGAAAGAGCAAAGGCACGGGGACTTTCAGTCACATGCCGGCACGCATGCCGTGCCTGGTTGGGGTTGCCTTTTCCTCCCAGCGGTGAGTAGGCGTTGACCCTGATGCCAAGCTTTTGGCATTTCTGTACCAGCATCTCACGCGTGTTGAATGGATGGATCTCGAACTGGCTTGCCATCGGAACGGTGTCAGCATAGTCGAGAAGCTCGGTAAGATGTCGGTCATTGTAGTTGGACACACCGATGTTCTTGACCAGGCCATCCTTGCCCCAGCGCGAGAGGGGGAATTCAAACATGATCCCAAACCAAACTCTGAACCTTCACAAACCTCTATCGGACCTATTATCGCAGCCTGAACCCTAAAGTCCCTTTGCCTTCTTCATTTGCTCCAAAGCTTTCCAGGTTTCTCGCCGGAGCCGGAAATTCGACTCTGCAGCCTCGATGCTGGTGCTGAGACCAGGCCAATGCGGTAAGACCAGATCAATGGCCTCCGAAAAAAGCGACCACTCAGTAGGAGTTCATCAAATAATCGGTTTGAGCCAGATGCATATATCTCCCGATTGCTGTTCATCAGACACATGCACCAAGTTTGCAGATTTGCCGACATAAAAACAACAATGATGACAGAAAGTATCATACGTAGTTGTTACCATATGTCGACTCCCCGCAGCAAGTCAGCAAGTGGAACTTGTGTCCCTTTTTGTCAGTCGGTCTCTGCTTGCTTGCTTGCTTGCTTGCTTGCTTGGGGTTTGAAGGCCTGATTCACAACTCCCTTGTCTGTCTGTCTGTCTGTCGCCCGGCCTCATCCCCGCACACACTATGGCTAGGTCCTCAGTGCCTGCGACCACCACATCCCCGGCTCAAGTCCCCAAGAGTCTGTCTCTCCCGTGACCATAGTCGGCGGGGGACCCCAAACACGATGAAAACATGCCAAGCACTAAGCAGAACTGCCAACTTGTGGTAGTCCTGGGAGATAACATGTTGCCCTTGAGGAAGCAGCACGCGAACAAGGAAACGTGCAAAAGGTGGCACTGGCCTTGCGCCCGCTTTGAGGATCCCATGATTTTGGCTAGCACTGGTAAAGGTTGGGTGTATTGTGCGGTTGAGCGCGCCGTCGCTCTCCCCCCGGTTCAGGTAGCAACAAATGGCAACAAATCACTTCCCCGGCAAACGGCTAATGACTGCGGGGAGTGTATGGCATCGGGTCAGCAAATCGTGTTGGGCATGCTGCATGAGTGTGCAGGCATCTCTCCTCACGTCTCACAGCGAAGGGTAAAAGCACGTTTCTTTTCAGGCGCGAGGGTATCAGTTTTTGAAGTGCCGCCCCTCCGCCCCCCACGCATATAATATTATCTATATATACATATATATATATGCTATATATATATATATATATATATATATATATATAGATCGTACCATATAACAGCATACAAAACACACGATAAAAATATCATATAGTGGAATCTAGTAACATAAATCAAAATATTCTCTCAATATATATGCATATATATTCATATATATGCATATATGTATATATGTATGTAAATGTATATGTGTATGTATATGCGTATGTATATGTATATGTGTATGTATGTATGTATGTATGTATGTATGTATATATATATATATATATATATATGTATATATATATATATATATATATATATAGCTAGCTGGCCTTTCCGCTGTTGGCTGCTCGGTGTGACTCGTGTGCTCGTCGCACGTCAGGCATAGTTTGTCGCTCCCCCCTTCCCTTCGAGGGCAGCGGCTTGCGGTCCCCCCCGGGTAGGCCGAGGGCTACCACTGGGTTCATTCGGTCGCTGCCCTCCGATCCCGATGCTTGTGCCATTGTCCGATGGCCACAGTGCTTCATCTGCACTTGCATAGGCAGGGCTGCTCTGCAAACTATAAAGGTATCCCTGTGGCTATCTGTATCTCAGTCTCTATCTCTCTGGCCTTTCTCATATTTTGCGGCCTCGAGGCCGAGCTTCTTTGCCGAGTCCTGCACCGAGCTGATTGCCTTGTCGAAGCCGTAATTCGTGGGCCACACCTCCGGCTTGCCGTCACAGGCACGGCTTCGTGGGCTCTTGTGTGGTCATGCGTGTGCTCGCCAAGTGTTCGACATGCTTAACATGGAAAGAATCAACCTTGGCCTTCACCGTCACGGCTCCGAACAGTAACCAGTTACATTCCCAACAACATCTGTCAAGAGAACTGCAGCTTCAAAGGACAGGAAGCAGCTGAAACTAAGGGTCGTGTGGCTCAGATCACGACAAGAGTTGCAGCAGGCTCGCATGCGCGTCTGCAGACATCTGCAGACGATGCGCCACACTACCAGTAAATCGAACGGAACACACACTTGAAACGCGTAGCTACACGGTCAACCGGGCGCCTTGGTGGTCACGAAGACCTCGTCACGACGAAGGCCCTTGTCAAATGCTTCCTTCAACGCCCGGCCGATGCCGGCTTCATTGCCTCAAGCTGCCGATGGCCCTCTCGCGCGATGCAGTTGAAGAATTGAAGCCCAGCTGCCATACCTCTGTGCTGTGTCGATGACGCGGTAGCCAGTGTCCAAAGCACTGGAGACCTGCCTGACACTCCGGCAGTCGGTCAAATCTCCTTTTCATGTGGCCTTGCCTGGTCACATCTCCCTCAGAGACCAAGCAGGTACCAAGTCCTGGCTCAAGGCTCTTCAACGCAAGCGCAAGCAGGCACGAAGAGTAGTGCGATGTGCCGTAACCCAGACAATCCGATATTTAAACAAACAATCGCTACTTATTTTTTTCATGCGCTATTGAAATTCACTTCGGAATCAATAGGATCTGATTCAAATCACTCTGATTCCATGACTACCCGGGTGTCTCCAACCCTGACCCGGCCCAGGTTTAACGGCCGAATCAAAATCAATAGAAACCAAGCTTCAAACTCAATAGAAAATTTCCATAAAAATCAATAGAACAGAAATGACCAATCATAATCAATAGAAATGTACACCACATATTCCGATTGATTTTTTTTCAATATCGGATGGTCTGGGAATGTGCCATACTGGTAACAGTCGCGCCTATGGTCAGGGGCAGCACCCCACCAGAGATGGCTCCAGACGCCGGTCGCGGGAGCCACGTCGCGGCGCTTGCCGGCTGGGCCCGTGCCCCAAGTGCGCCAGCCCCCAGTGCTCCCAGTGCTCGCCGAGGCAGCGACGGGAGCGAGGCGGAGGCCAGCTGCAACCCTCCGTTCAGGAAAGCGTAGAGCAGCGGCAGCAGCGGCAGCACGGCCCAACAGCGACCGGCCATGGCTGAGCAGAAGACCCAACAGCACCCGGAAGTGCTGTCTGTGCCACAGTAACCCTCCATGTTGAATGTTGGCAGTGGTACTACTCAATCGCATGCATGTTTTCTGCGGATATGCTGCTGCCTAAGCTTCAGGAGAAGGCCAGCGTCCAATGGCCGGCACGATGGAAGCGGTATCAGGCGGCGTGCAGTCCTCTGCATAGGTCTGTTCCCTCCGCGCGCACACCTGCAAACAGAACGAGTGATGCCGTGATGCCCCCCAATCCAAACTGCATAGCCCACCTCAGCCAGCACGCATCCTTTCCACGCTGCAAACCTAAGTACAGTACACTGTTAAGGATCAGCAGCCATTTCCCCAAAACCTAATTTTCTGCGAAAGCGCGAGAGAGAAAGAGAGGGAGAGGAAAGACATTATTGTTATATATTCGTTGCATTTTAGTGAATTTCTCATTTGCATGATTGTTATCATTACTCCTATACTTATATGTATATATGTATACACATCTACCTACGCACATACATATACATATACATATACATATACATATACATATACATATACATATACATACACATACATACATACATACACATATACCTTTACGCATCTGCGAGGCTCTGTGTGTGTGTGCTTGTCACTGTGCAACGTGTCCGGGCAATGGGCAACAGAGTCGTAGCAACCAGCTCCTTCCAGGTCAGGCTTCGAAGGAGTTCGAAAGCTGGACCAGCGCATCTCCTCGGCATCGCGTCGCTGGCGCTTGGCAAGAAGGCCGTGCCATTGGAGAAAGGCCGTAGCCTCGCAGATTCTGAAAGAGCTCGGCATGGCCGCATGGCCTCAGGCCTCATGGCGCTCATGCTCAGCTTGGTACAAGCTCCGCCTCCGGAGCTGGCAGCAGCCGGACTACAACCTGTCACCAGGCGAAGCCACCTTTAGAGCCCAAAGCTCTTATGCAGTACGTCTCCGCCTGCAAGCGCTGCAAACGTTGGGAGGCACGCCTGTGCCTGGCTGCTCAGGCGGGAAGCGTGCTCCTAGGCTTTTCGAGAAAGCGAGGCCAGGCGACTCAGCAGTGATCCTCAGTGGCAGTGTCTCAGCTGGCCCCTGGATGTCTGCAGCTGAGCTCGCGGCCTTTGCCGTCGGTTCGCCAGGGATGCCTGAAGCGAGAAGCACCAGCTAAGGGGAGTCGAGACTCGCGTGTCCTCGTGTGGCAGCAGGGTGCTGAAGCGCTTCCGGACATCCTGTGCTTGTTTCGATGTGGCAGCGGCTTCGAGTGCACCGTGGTACCGCACCTTGCTGGTGCTGATCTGCATGTGACGGCCACAAAGCTTTTTTTTCGACCTGTTCCACCCTGCTCCGACAATTTCTTTGCCTGCTCTGCTGGTGTAGGTCATGATCAACAACCAGGTGCCCGTAGCTTGAACCGAAAGAGCGCAATAGCTTTCAGTAGTACAACAAAGAAATTACTTTTGACTTTCTGCGGTTGACATAGCAGCTTTCCTGAAGGGTTCTCCGCTTGCATGAGGCGATTCCTGGGCAAGAGGACACAGCATCGACAGACAATGTTCGGCTCTTCCGGGGCCGATGCTCCATCTCCTCATCGAAGACTCTCCACGGTCGCCTTCCCAAGTCCGTGCTATCTGCAGGCCAGAGCAATCTTTAGCTCACACTTGGCACCTGATAGTCCTGGGAACCTTGAATCGGATCACGACTGCAAGGGGAACTCAACACCTTTCTTCGTCTTGGGTCCCGTCGGCCCCGCTTTTCCAGGATGTCGCCGGCTTCCGTGCTTTGGGCATCTGCAAAGTTGAAGCACCGACAAAGATCACTGAGAACTCATTGAACGGGACCTCCGTCAAAGGCACTGTGCTGCTTTCCACAGGCACAGTCACCTGTCCTAATTGGCAGAGGGCACGGCGGAAGCTTTGTGTGTCTTAGGCAGTCAGAGTGGTCTTGATGTGATGATCGTCACTAGCAGAAGCCGGCCGTTTGGGAGAATACTGTAAGACTCGGAACACATAGCGCGACAAGCTTGTGACCGTTTGGGGTCAGCATCAGCTGTGTCATGTCACTTGCTTCAGTCAGAGATTCGAGCCCAAATGCTCGAAGGTACTGGTGGATAAAATTAGGTTGTTTGCACATCGGCACGACCACGTTTCCAAGATTTTGTCAACGAATTCGCGGTCGTGCCGTCTCGCTAGCATTGGTCATATGCAGAGTGAGCACTGCAACGGCATCTCTGGCAAAGCCTTGTGGCAGTTAGGACTGGCAAACACTGCGCAGGTACCTGCTAACCAGAATCGTTCTGGCTCTCGACAGAGAAACCCAATCGCTGTGCGCGCTTCGCTTTTGCCTCTCGTCATGGCACAATCTACACCAGACTGTCAAGACACCCATTATCAGGACTGCTTTTCAATTTACAACAGAGCTGCGGCTGCTCTAGAGGCTGGCGGACAGCGTGAAAGCCAAGCAGTTGAGCCTGGCATGCATGAATTGACCCAGCCTTGCAGTCAATGCAGGCCGAATACGTTTACGGAGCACGTCACCTTTAAGTGAGCTGTTGAGCACTTCGCCACCGTGGCCGGACGCTGCCGATTGCAGCATGTGGCTGAATGTCAGGTTTTCAATCTCTGCATAGGTCGCAGATAAAACAGTAAGACTCTGTTTGCTGTTGCAAATCGTGTGGCTGCTCAGCTGTGCAGGAAACGATTCGTTGAAGCGTATTTTCGCTCCATGTCGGTGGGCAAATCTGTTTCAGAAGCCCCAGGAAAAAAACCTAGCTCGCACCTTCCAAAGAACTCCCCCACGTCGCTTCTGAAGTCCTTCGTGCGCCTTGGCAGTGCCCACTGGCAGAAACTGGAGACAAATGCATACGTTACTGCTACAGAATGGGTGGAAGTCCGATACTCTCGCCGACAAGAGGCGTTGAGCACCACGATAATCGTGTTAACGTGGACATGTCAGAATGAGCAAGTTGCAAGGCTGCAAGTTCTTTTTGCAGCGGCCGGGTCGGTTATCGCTTCCCCCCGGTACGAGCGCGAGGACATCACGAGCATCTGCAGTTGCCGCTTCTCTGTACTGTCTTGTTGCGTTTCAGTATGTGTGGGCAAGCATCACGAGCATCATGTCACTATGTGCATCAGCGAGTATCCGACCGCCAAAAACATGCGCAGCTCTTGCGCACGATGCTTGGCATGCTTGGTTGCCTGTCGTGCTATTCTTCGATCCGCGTAATGCAAACACAGCAAGACACTACTTGTTGCTGACAGTTGCCAACATGTTCTTCACAGCTGGGGCTGCTTGTCCAATGCGCCGAAAGCCGGAGGTCTGGGGCGTCTTGATCTGGTTCCATGGGACCATGGACCTCCCCCCTCACCCCCTTCCTGGTTCACTTTTGAGCTCCATTTCCTTGCGTGAGCGGCGGGTCCTCTGACTTCTTCTGGCAAGCTCTGCCCCGCCCCGTCGACAGTCCCCGAGGCGGCTCTCGCGCTAGCGGTTTAATTTCTATGTGGCAGGAGGTGAATACAACGCTGCACGACGGATGTTTGCAGTGTGCAAGCGAAGCTTTTTTTGTGAACGACGGCAGAAATATTGCGATAGTTCACTACTTCAACCAGGGAAGCATGCCAAGCATTATGCGTGTGAGCTGCGCAGCCCCCTTGCTTTTGCAGCCGAGCATTTGATCATGCGCCTCGGCAGCGAAAGCTTGCTACCGCAGGTAAGAACTACTTTGGCTGTTTTGGCTGTTCACTGTTTGGGTTCACGAACATCATGCTCAGCATCACAGGGCATCAGGCACAAGACAGAATGCAAGCATCATGCGCATCAGGTGTAGGCGCTGATCCACGGTATTCTTGTTACAAAAGGTCTTAAATGTCTCACGGACTCCGGAATGACACACCTCAGCAGACGATGTTGAACTTTGACGGCACATCTTACATGGCTGGAGGAGGTGAGCACCCTGCATTGGAAGCATGCGATTCCCGGGAACACACCACCCAAATGCTCTTTGACTAGGTGTGCTTCAAGGTGATTTTTCGGATTTGCGACCCATCATGCCCGTGTTCCGTGATGAAGCCTCAAAACAAACACGGAGCTGACTTGAGATCGTAGGCATGATACATGTTTTCTTATCTCCCCCGGCAGCATACGGCATGCATCGTGCAACTTCTCCGGTCCTCCGCGAGAAAGCCTTGATTGGGCCTTGATGCACCTTCAAGTTTGGACAACCACTCCGAAGTCCCGAAGTACCATTTTAGAAACTCCACGCCTGTGCCTGCTCTTAGACCAGGGAAATCTTGGCCAAGGTAGGCTAGCCGCTAGCCCCCCTCCCCGTTCAGCAAAGCGGCCGAAGCTGAAGCAAAGGATCTTCTCCCACCAGGTTCCATCACCTGAAGTTGACAGCTGGGCGCAAGCTTGGCTGATGGTCCATGGTGATTCTCTCGGACTCCAATCGTGACCCTGAGACCGGGGCTTCACACGCTTTTTTCTCCCTCGCTTCTCTTCCCTGCGGTCTTCAAGGTCGCTTTCGCCCCAACCTGGAGGAGTCCAACACACTTCTGATCCACTGCCTTGGCTTGAGCTCCATATGACATTGTATGTCGGGTCTGTCCTCCCGTTGCTGTCGCCGCAGTCGTAGTGAGAGGGCTCCGCTTGGAGGGATCACGCGAAGGCGACCGGTGCTCAGGACTGAGCTCCTTCCGAGTCGAAGACGGAAGGAGCCCTCTGAGCCTCTGCCTCTCTTCCCTAAAGCTCGGCATGGCAGCCTTAGTGCGGCGTGGCTTGGCCTCGCTCTCGGCCTCCAGCCACCTCTCTCGGAAGTCTAAGTCTAAGCCTCTTAAGAGAAAGACACGCGTCCTTTCCGCTTCCTTTTCTGGGGCTGCGGCTCGCTGTTGTGCACTTTGTACTTGTACTCCTCTGCAGCGACGGAAGGAGCTGCTCCAACAACCCTTCCCTGCCCTCAGTCGCAGTCTGCTACTCCGCTAGTAGCCGCAGCCCTCTCTCCTGG